ATTGCCTATGATGCGGATCGAGCACCGCTGTAACCTATCCAAGGCATCGAGCAAGTACTTAACGGAGCCATCCCAGAGGTGCGAGCAATATTCCACGTAAGTCCGCACCTGCGTTTTGTACAACAAGCACAGTTGCTCGGGCGTGAAAAAAGCCGCACCTTTTTCAGGACTCCCGAGTTTGCGTGAGGCCGTTTTTATCACGCTTTCGATATAATTCTTTGGATTAACGTCACAGCGAATTTCCATACCGAGCATGGTGATACTGCTATCTGGCTTTAGTGTTGTGCCCTAAAGAGAAGGAAATGAAATGTTAATGCCAAAAGGGGAGATGTTTTATTACTTTTTTTCACTGTACTCGATACGGATGCCAATCTCAATATTTTTTATTACCTAATTGTAATTGAGGAGCTCGATGGCAGCCAGACAAAAGTTGCAACATAAATGTAGTTACTCTTCTGACATAAGTTCTGTTTTTAGTGTTTCGTACCCATTAGAACCCTATCAATAATTCTCCGCTGTTCGTATGTTACAATTCCCGCTATATACATTACAATACTTTTTTTTCCTACATATTTGTGCCGTTTGGTGTTGAGACTATGTGTCGCCGCACACAGGCCACACGCCACAGCAACAAACGCCGCCACGAGAAGCTAGAAGCGGCTACTAAAGTGGCTGAAGCGCGCGACAGCGGCCGACTAAGGTAAGGGAGAGAGGGGTGGGGGAATCGCGCGAGTGACGTGTGGCGGCGTTTTGTATCGTACCGTGTGTGGCGAGTCCATATAAAATGTATGAAAACTACAAGAAATATGCCGGTGGCGGCGTTTTGTGGTTGTGGTCGGTGGCCCGTGTGCAGTGACACTATAGGCCCATGAGGTCCAAGCGCTCAGTCACTTTTTAAGGAACTGTCAAAGAGGCTCACTGAAGCGACTGGTGATCAAAAAGCTATCTTGGTCTACGGATCAGCATTGACATCCAACGTTGTAATACTGCCAGCCTATTGGGCACTATTCCTGACGGGGCCTGCGGGGCCGGGGGTGACATAAGTATTTTTTATTTTGTATATTATATATAGTTTAAGTAGTTAAGTAGGTTAAGATAATTTGGAATGTAAAGGAGATTGCTCTAATTGGCCCAAATGCACAAAAAATATTGACATACACGGTAATTCTTGGCGTAATTTATAATTTAATTTACAGTCATTAGATTTCAACGGACACCTTTGTTTAATATATTTACTTTAAAAAGGACTTTTAATTTTACCGGTTTGGAAAACATACGAATCATTTTTAATGGCTATGGGTGTAGTAACATTCAGCCAAAGACTGATCGAAGTTGTTTATTTAACGTAAAAACAAATCTATTTTGTAAAGATCGATAAAATAAATCACATTTTTTATTACACTGTGGTATTAATATCCACAACTTTACTATCCTTTTCACTAGATGCAAATGTGCTCAGACAATTATTATAGATGGTAGGCGACATAATAAAGTCTATTGCCATACATTTTTCGCCAAACCTCCATAAATACATTATAATCTGTATATATGTTAGACTTTAAGGTATCTATCTATGAGCCTACGTTGCCTGACTTTAATTAATAAATAAATAAAATTATAAGGTGTGATACACTAAAAATCTAAAATATGGTTATATTTAAAACATAACAAAAATAATGAATGTACTGAATATATGGCTATATAACCTAAATCTCTTAGCTTTCTTTAGTTAAAGAGAGTTTAAAAATTCTCTCTAATCTGTGGCTCATTCACAATCATCACACAGTTTCTGTCACAGAGTACCTTATTATAACCGGAAATGCATAGATGACACCTGATTTTAAAAGTTACTCTTATGCATTAATTTAAAAAACCGGCAACTATCTGTTAATCTACATGCTCTATATACCTGAATCTAATCAATAATTTCGGTACTTGGTTTGATTTCCCTAGTTTACTATATAACTTATTTGTTTTTTATTATTTTAATATGTTCAGTGTATATGGTTTATAGAAGTTCTCAGGGGTGTCCGTCAATAATATACGTTTCTACAGTAATTTATATATAATTTCGAATTTAGGAAACAATTTTTCATGATTATTGGTCTTTAGGCCAATCATGTATGGAAGCTGAGCAATCTCCTTTTAGTCATCATTTAGTTTTTGAGTTTTTGTTGTTTTTGTTGTTATTAAATGTAAATATGTGTAAATAATAATATAAAATATACATATTTTTTCCTAGTTTTTTCCTCGTCCTTTATAATCGCTGTAAGTAATTCAAATGTTAACGAAACCCTCCGTTTACGAATCCGTCTAACACTTGACCGGTATTTTCTAGTCAAGTTCAAACCTCATTTTTACCTATTAAAATTCTCTTTGAATAACATGTTTTATCCACATCCGCTCAGTCATATGTTTTAATAATGTAAAGTATGTAGTAGGTAATTGAATCATCGCAGTAAGCATGTATGAGTGAGCACGGCTGTCGTCGTCGAATAGAATATTCTATGTACACGGCAAGCTATACAAAAAGTTCTAAAGAAGATATAACTAGAAAAAAAATCCACGCGGATCAGGCAGCAGACGGGACTCGAACCCGCACCCTTCGCAATCCGGGCGAATGCACTGACTTATGCTATCGCGACTCTGACGGCCGCGTCGAAATTCTTCCAGCCATTCTTAAGCTGCAAGACATTTCTAGTTATATTTTCTTTAGATTTAAACATCAACCAGTTACATGCTTAAAAAAATTAAATTATAACTAGGTATACAAAAAGTTATTTTTTTTTGCTGTGAAAAAATAACCTTAAATAAATATGAAATCAACGTCTTTTTTTCTAGAGCATGTTTTTTTCACAAGTACAAAATTTAAGTTAAGAGACTTTCCATTAAAGATTAATGCTGTATTAAAGTTTGTATTAAAGTTCTCCGTTTATTTTAAAACCTACCACACATTTTTCATTGAAAATTACCAACCAAGCTTTCACGATGTACGGGATAATCCTCGAATTCCCCGTCCGCTGTTTATATTTGTTTGAGCGCAACGCAGTTAACAAAGCGCATTGTGAAGAATGTTAATTAAACATTTCTTTTTTGAAGATTATTTTCGTCAATAACAACAAATTCAGATAAAAACAACGGACTACACTGATGCGGAGTCTCCCGATTTCACAGGAGATCTCCTGGTTTTCTAAAATTCCTCCTGTTCTTCTGTTTTTCTACATGAATCTACTATTTTTCTTAAAATACGATTCTTTATTATATTGCATATTGACTTGCGTTTTCCGCCATCAAGAATTTAGGTAACCTTAATCACAATAATATAAATATGTTAAGTATTGTCTAAAAAAAAAACAAAATACGTCCACTTTTTTTTCTTGTAGCTCTTTCCATACATCTACTGCTTTTTTCTATAGAACTCCAGTTTTTTTTTAAATCGAACTTGGCATCACTGAGCCAGGCCTTACTTACATGTATTGTAAACTCAATGACATTCTGTAAAACGTGACAGTTGTGTTGTTTAGTTTGTTTTTGACTTGTTCAACGTTTGGCTTAAAAAGGACTAGAATCCAGAGCCGTAAACATATTTAATAAAAAAAACCTTACACACGCGCGTGTATGAGATGAGGTTTGTCGGACTTTTTGGCGGGATCGGGAAGTGTCACTTTAGCAGTTTTGTTTTTCTTGTTAAAAATTGTGTAGTGGCGGATGTTAGTGTCTAATAATAGTGGATTATTACCACTAAGTATTCGGGAACTTGCACAAGTGTTGGCAAGTGAAACAAAATAGCATAAAGTGTCTTTCGACGTTCCCTCAAGACGTCCACGGGGAGGTTCCAGTAAATCCCCACACATTTACTGAAATATAGGGAAAGGGGGTTTGACTTGACTTACTTTGACTTGATTTATTACTTTGACCACGAGTGCTATAGAATTTGTAAACATTTTAACACTTGACATTGGCCAAATGCACAAGCCGTGCGAAGTCATTTAGGAAAAAAAATGAGGTTTGTCTCAGTGCCTTTTTTACAATATCAGTCCAGCGAAGTCACTTGCCTACTTACGCGTTACGAACCAGCTTTACGCACGGCCACTGACCAGCCACAGAATAAGGCTAACGTCCACAGTTCCAGGAATCCAACTTTATAGTTAAACAGTAAATCTCTAGTTTAATGGCTGTCTCGTGTTACGTAGAATCGTATAAGTACACTTCATATCATTATGGACCGCACGCAGTAGGTCAATTTATTGTATAGTAGATTTTCAAGTTGCAGGAGCATCATTTTCATTTTTTGATACGAGAATCGTAATTATGATATGAACATTAACTCCATTTGAAAGGTGTTTTTAATAGCTTCAAAGTTATTTAATAGCTAAGACTTCTATACCTCCCCGTAAACGTTTTGTACAAAAGATTTCTTTTCGGCGGGAGAGCTTTTAAAAACTTCTCCCGCCAAATGTTTTGTAGCGTCAGCGTGTACTTTGTATCTAGAACACGCTGAGTACGGAATTTAGAGCTGACGCACATAAATATTAGTTAGGAAAATTAGTATACAAGATGTAAACATTAATAATTTACGCTCTTAGTTATCAAGCGACACACTGGCTGTTTCATTCCTCATCTCCCGGCACTAGGAGCTATATTGGTGACCCCGACGTGATTCCCGACCCGATCGGCGGCGTGTTCTAGATACAAAGTACACGCTGATGCTGCATCAGTTTGTTTATTAAGAATAGATAAATTCTAAATGTTATCGTAGACCGACAGCAACACATCTATTGAAACGTCTAATTTTCTCAATCAATCGTGAATTCGTCAGCTCTAATCGAGATGAATTCATGAGATTAAGATTCAGAATTTTGAATAACTTTACCTCTGCGGCTATCTGTACGTTTTTAAATAATTGTAATTAGTATTCTACTTTAACAAAGACCGTCATTAATTGAGAACCTTTTGACTATAATAGTAAAGATTCTTAAAAAATATAAGGAAAAACATACCACTGCCAAAAAATCCTCTGCCACTCTCATCTCTCCTTGTATTGTTGAAGTTTTGTTTGAACAACAAATTGTTATGGTTCACATCACTATTAAACACTTTTCCATGTTTCAATTTAGTATTTATCACGTGTTTTCTAAAACACTCACTCGATCCCATCAGAACAAAAATCATCACAATTATAATCACTTTAAATTTCAACAACAAACAATTCGTAGGCATTTTAACCGTTTCATAATTGCAATATTTTTATTTATCTGGTACAAAATCAACATTACAAGTAATTGAAGAACTAACTAATGCGGTGTTTATAAATTTTCGTTTCCCGCCGTTTCTCGTCTGCCATTATCGTCGCGACACGGCGCATGTGCGAAGCCGCGAAACCGACTGGCGAAATTCGAACGCACACCTACCTACGACGCAAGCGAAGGCAACAAAACGCATCTCATGTTGTTCTTTTTGCGGTTTTCTGTCGAACGTTCAAATGGCGCCATGAATTTGTGGTTTTGTTGTATTCCGTCGAAACTTGTCGCTTTCTCTAATTACAGTGGCTGAGCACGTACCTTCTGTATAGGATCACTATTTATCTAGAGCAGTCCGATTATACTAGCATGTAAATTAAGGTCGTATCAAAAGAGAATTTAAACATTGATGGCCAACGGCAATACTTATTTGTATTAAAAAATCAGAACAGGTTGTCTGTAATTACAATTAATACCTCCGGCGGCAGTACCGGTAGGGTTTCCCATGCTCAGATCATAATGGATCTACTGTATTACTGGTTTTACAACATAGAGGAAGTACTTCTGAATTTTAAAATAGGCCAGATATTAAAATATTATTTATCGTTTTAATCGTATTTCACCTATTATTACTTTAATGACGCAACTAATTATATCCTAAGGGTTTAAAAAATAAACATTAGGTATTTTATCAATACTTACTCTCGTCGCTACACCGACCTGACTGTTGGTGGCTTAATTAATAAATGTGCGTGAAAACCTAAGAAACAAAAATTAGTTAATAAATCTTAAATAAAACGCATGGCATTAATTATTTTTGATATAACTGATTTATTGCTTTTTTTCTATATTTAAAACAATTCGTTGAAACATCTCTCTAAGAGAACATTAGATTCCTACTTGGCCATATTATAGGAATACATCCAATACTCACTTTAAACAAAACTACATACAAATAATACCAATACAAATACGGAAATAATAAAAAATAGTCAAAAAACATTAACATAAATATTCTCCAAAACAAGAAATTACATTGTAAAAGTTCTAATAATTTAAATACTGATTATTGTCGTTATTTTTTTTACAATTTTTTATTTTTCTCTCAGCTTTGATTCGCTTACTAATTTATAAATATGTATAATTTTAATTTTATAAATGTACAGTAAATAAAACCGTTGTTAGCGACCGACTTATTTAAAACTTAATGTAATTTAATATCAGATCAAATTAGTGCATCCTTAATTACTAAATCTAGTTTGCAACACCTAACATAATCATATTGAACTCAATTTTGTGCATAATTGTACACACAATAGTGATATGGTAACTAAGAGTTGCCACATCGGTTTGCTTAAGTGGCTTTTAGGCGAACATTAGTGGCTTTTAGGCGATCATATTACTTTAATATAAAAACAGGGAAGAAGAAAGAAACTGATTAAGATATTGTGTACTGAATATGGAAAGCTAACCCGATGTGGCATATATATTCTCGTATGTATTCAATCTGAACATTTATTAATAAAGACATTCACAAAAAAAGAAACTAAATCAGCTTGCAAACTTAAACTGGTCTAACTTCAAAATTGGTAAATCACAAACTCGGCAAATGCGTACAAAACAAAAACTTTAATGTGACACTTCCAAAGTACATCAAAAAACCAATGTAATATTCTCAACGTATGCGACAACTTTGACCAGATAGGTGCTGTAAATGTTTTCACAGAATCACTTTTAAAGCTCATAAGTAGTAGCATAAAACAAATAAAAGACTTATTAAGCGTCAATAACGTAAATAAAATTAAACTTGTATCAAATCTCTGTACAAAAACTTAAAACTAGTGTGCTGTGTTTGTACTGTGTATGTAAGTAATAAAAATCACACAAAAACTTAGTAGACAAGCTTTTTTTCATTTGATGAACAAACATCAAGCGTATACTTATACACAGTGGCGGCGCTAGGCGTCGGCGACGTCGGCCACCGCCGACGGCCTAGCGCCTGAGGGGGCCTCGCAAAATTTTTTTACAAGCTACTTATTTTCGTTTCTCCTGGCCTGGCTTAGGTAGCCGACCCCGAACAATTCGGGGAAAAAGCTAAGCAGATGATAATAACTTTTATTATTTTCGAACACGTGCGTGATGGAAGCGATTAGTACTTTACGGGTATTCAGAATCGTATGTCTGGTAACACTATTTGTAATTAAATTTCTATGTTTGTAATTATTTTTGTCATTAGTTGATTATCAACAATAAAACTCGAAATTTACTCATACGTTATTTTATAATTTGGCTCACTTAATTTAACGGTTTTTTACTGCGAATTAAAATAGGCCTCACGAACTTGATGTCGCCGACGTCCACATGTGGTCTAGCGCCGCCACTGCTTATACAAGGTAGCCTGCGCATTAGCAATTTTACATACAAAACCGTCAAACGCGCAAGTTTATTTGTCTGTGGTTTCGCTTAAGAAGTTTGCCGCTACAGTGCGTCCAAGATCTTTATGAATGTGAGTTACAGTTCAAGGAGGGTCTCGCCACTGTCTACGCAAATGACATACAAAATATGACGTGTACGAAGATGGCGGCGTTACGTCCAATTTTCGCCACATTAATAAAGCAGATCGCACTTTAGGTACCTATAACATACACGAGGTATCTTTTCGCAAAATAATATTGAAATGTAAAAATAATCTTTTTATAGTTTTTGTATGAATTTTATTTCGTACAAGTTACACGTAATGTTACTGAAAATATCGTCGTTAAGAGCCTCGATAAAAAAATGTTAATATCAACGAGATCGCAATGTCATATCTGGGATTAACATTTTACAATATGATACGCCTAGTTTGCCATTGCTAGGCAAAGACACAATATTAATTATTATTATTATTAAGCCGTGTTTAAATAATGTCTAATGTCAGCAATCTTTAGTCAAAGGGCCAGTGAATATACCATAATGTTAAAAATGCTTTTAATCATCAAAATAATCATTAAATTGTAATATTCTGATAAGTTCAACTAACTTTGGCTGTACTTACAACTGTCACTACACCGTTTAGAATAAAAGAAATAAATACTTACTAAGCCCGATACATAACCTACCCTATTACATTGAAATACAGCTTTACTTTGCAAATCGGAATAACATTCTTTGCGTTAAATCGTATATACCTACAGTTACCTATTTTATAGACAACCACTTTTGGCACTACAATAATGGACAGTTATATCGTAAAAGACTTACGAATTAGAAATGATATGGAAGCATTAATCTCTAACAAAGGCCGCTAAAACAGAATTCCAAACTCATACAACTAAACTTAAAACAATACTAACACGACATGCTCACAAACAAAACAAAATACTTCGCCAAATCAAATGTCTACCAACGAATTCCAATCCCATTCATTGGGTAGGATAATGTTAAACAGAAATCCCAACCAATCCCATGATCGACGTATAGACCGCTCTTTTTTAGCCCCGCCCACTCGATCGCAGTTTGTGTGGAACCTCTCTTGAGCGCATTTCGTATTCCATATTATTTCTAATTCATTGTAAAAGACGGTTCTAATTCGATTGTAAATACATCTTACATACATATTAAAATTACATACTGTTATAGTATTAAAATACAAGATCACAATTTTCTAATACCAATATCATATCTCACACAGCTAACAACCAATTCATACTGCTTATTTTCAATCAAACGTAAATAAAATATATAGAAACATCTCGTATTGAACGTAGGCATTTTGTCACACTGATTCTTGCTTATAACCAAGTATGTATCACCATAGATGCAATATACAAGGGTTTTCTTCAATGCAAACATATTTTTAAATTGATCATTATTAATGAAATATCAAATTAATGAGAATCGTCTCATCATCAATTTCATAATACGCTTACCATTTCCTTTTAGTCATACACTACCGACGTCCAGTTACATATATGAACAATTGAACATATCCTCAACACGAACCAATATCGAATTGGGGTAGAATTCTATCTGGACATGCGTAAAATGTTTTGTATGAAAATTTGAACAGCGCCGCAACGGACGGAACGAGAATTAAAAATCTTCCAAACAAATTTCTTGACATTTAACTATTCGAATTTCAACATTGGTTCATGCTAAGGGGTCAGGTATCTCCAAATTCTATTTGTAATAAAGAGTCAATACGTACAGTATATTTCATCACAATTTTACGTTGATTAGTCCCGCTACACCAAATAAATATTACATTATTTCATGACGTCTTTTAGTTCTATCCAATAAAGAGAGAGAGAGAGAGAGAGAGAGAGAGAGAGATAGATAGACAGAGAGAGAGAGATCTCCCTCTATAGAAGTAGTTATACTGATTCAAAGAAATAGGCCAACATGAGAGTATAATTACTAACACTAATAGTTATATGTATCTATTTATGTACAATAAATTACATGGATCGCCCAATACTAAGCGGATTACTGATTTATCGTTTTCACATAAAATCATATTCCTAACCAAAAGGAGATACTTCACTTGTGTGTAAATGGTACATACATAAAATTAACATATGAATAAAAACATTCGCTATTTTGATTTTAGTAACAAGGACCATTGTTACAAGTGTTTACGTCTCGCCATGCAATTTTATCGAACAACAGCTCATGATATAAACAAATACCTTGAAAAAAAAAGGTAGAACATAACGTACCTAATTCTAGTTTGAGTAAAAAGATTATTGAAACTATATTCTGGGAGGTTGTTACAGTTTCAAGATATCTGTTATAAAATGTTTCTCTCTCCCTCTTATCTCTAATGGACACGCAAATGTCAGTGCTCTATTTGCAAGGACATAGATCTCACGAAATTTGTATCTTCATTAGAAATTATTATTTATAAACCTGTAAATCACCCGCCCTGATAGTTGACGATTACGATGAAAATCTCGAAGTATATTCAGATATCCATATTTCGATTACATAACACTTTTATATTTAATAATCTATTACATTTATTATAGGTGCTACAACTTCCATAGTAACGTCCAATCAGGCTCTCTAATGCCGGCCACTTCACTTGGCTATTCGTATTTGGTATTTGTAAACTTGACAACAGTCTGTCCTTATCATGGGTGTATTCCGAAATATAAATAAATAAATATTTCCAACACTCACACCAATTAGTCTAGCCCCAAAGTAAGCACTGTAAGGCTTGTTATGGGAAACTAGGGTAACGGATAGAATACAAATACTGTACATATATAAATATGGAAAATACATATCATAACATCCATGACTGGAGTACAAATGCTCGTATTCATCACACAAACATCTGCCCCCACTGGGATTCGAACCCAGGACCTCTCGAGTCGGCGACACCATGAAACCCGGCGTACAAACCACTCGGCCACGGAGGTCGTCTATATATACATCAGTATACTGGTCAGTGGTAATGACGTCACGAATCCGACGCCATATTGTACTGGTATGCTACCATATTTTTACCGGGAAAGCGAATATGACGTATGACCGAGCGTGCGTGAGAAGCATTCAAATTTTATTTCTTTTTATTCAAAGAACAATAACGGCATCCGAACAAAAAGAATTCCTTTTAATTGATGTAGTGAATAAAAATTCTTCTTTATTCGTCGAATTATGACGTCAGTGCACTGGCCAAGATATTTCGGAACAAGTCGATTCATGATGTCATTAGCACTGGCCAGTACACTGGTATATATTACAGAATACACCCATATCTATATAAGGGATGAAAAGAACAGACTGATCTCAAATTTACAAATAAAAACACACGAATACCTAAGAAGAGTGTCGGTATAATAGTTGCGAGCTGTATTTAACACTACCATAGAATTAGATTATATTGAAATGTTATAAACATGCAGTTGTAAAAGTGACTATACAAAACACGATAATATTTCAGCTATGATACAAATATAATTATAAACATCTAGAAACATAACAAGAAGTGACTCTAACACACTTTACACACGCTAACCATCCCTAACTCTACGACGACGTGTAACTAAAGAATTTCATACATATTATATCTCATTCTATGTGTTTTGCAATCAATCTGATATATATATATATATATATATATATATATATATATATATATATATATATTATAAATTATAGTGTAAAAGTTAAACATTGTTTCTTTTTAATAATCATCACTTATTTCGTTGCAAAGAATTATATAATATAGAGTGGACAGTTCCCAAAAAGTATTAAATTTGTATAGTTTGAAAGCCATACGAAGATACTTCAAATTTAACGCTTCATGAAGACGGACGGAACCCGTCTTGTAATATGTTATCGAAAACAGTGAAAGCACCTTTACTAAAAGTTAAAATGTTATTGAAGTTCGTACATGTGGCTATGAATGTTTATTTTTATAAGAAAATATTATTAACTACCCCATACAAATATCCCTACATGATTCTCAAGGTTGATAAACTTGCACAAGATTGTAGATTATGTAAATTACTGTGACACGTCATCTGCGACTCATCAAATATTGCACCATTACCACATAAATATTTAAAAGATAAAGAGGCTATTTTTCAATCCCTGGCTAAAATATATCTGATATCCTTATTCTATCGGTAAAATGAAGAGTTAATTTGCCATTAACGTTCATTTCTGTTTTTTTTCAATTTTCTGGAGATAACATTTTTTCCGAGGAATTGAAAGATCGGCCTTAAAAAGTCTCATACAATAGAAGAAGCTTATAAACAGTTTAAACTTCCAGTTCGAGTAACACTAGCACCAAAACCGTGGCATCTACACATTTAGACCATATCTGAACACTTGCGTTAAAATAGCGAACAAAAAAACTCGGAATTCCTTACGAAACACCAACATACCCGTCTAAAAGGATGTCAAAGAGAACTAGTCACAATTTCAATAGGATTTCCACAAGCCCTTGATGGCTTTCAATTTGGGTGATTTTTTCGTAGCTTCCAACTCCTGTTTGAAACTGGTGATGAACTTGTCGCGTAGACTGCGGCGCGGCGTCGACGGCTTCAACAAGAACTTCTTCAAGTCGTTGGTGAAACTCTTCGCCGTATAATTGGTCTCTTCTTTAGACTCTTCGTTGCTGGATTCGAGGAAGGACACCGACTTGATGGATTGCGCAGAGTTCTTGCGCTCGCGTGGTTTACTCCTTGGTGTGGATTTCGATCGGGACTCGGATTTAGTCGAGCGCGAATAACTGTGGGAGACGAGCGAGTATTCATCGTCGATCGAATCCAAAGTGTCAGTTGACCGGTTGCACACTTTGCAGCAAAGTCGGCAGTGCTCCACTTCGCTATGGTATCGGCCATTGCAATAGACATAGTTGTCGATGCGCACGCCGCGTTTGACTCGGACGCGCTTCTCTTTCTTATCCTTCGCGTCGGTCTTCCTCGTGCGTTTGCGTTTGCATTTGGGGCAATTGTTGCGTGCGATGCGGCGCAGTTCCTTCAAGAACTCGTAGTCTATCTCGAAGTAGTTGTCGGCGTCCGGTTCGGAGTAGTAGCGGAGGTCGTTCCGGTCGCGGTGTGGTCGCGGTCGAGGCGGGTCGTCGCGACCGGGGTCGGAATAGTATCGGAAGTCGCGGCAATGGCCGCAGAAGGAGACCGCCTTGCGCGGCGCGGCCGGTAAGGGTCAGGCCTGCACTGAAGGCACCCAGAGGGTCTTGTTCTGCTCCTCCTCTACGGCCTCTTTGATTTGCGTGCACATGTATGCGATGTTCACGCCCGCTGGTATCTCGGCTGCGGGGTAATGTGGGGAATGAAGGAGCGAAATACTTTTGAAGTGAAACTTCTTTACGCTTGACTTTGGGGGCTGGCGAACGTGTTACGCGTTACGAAAACTGTGTTCGCGCGAGGCGAACGGAAGTTGAGTGGGGGATATAAGGAAAAGAAAGCCGTGCGCATACACATTTTCTTTCTCTTATGGCTAGTAAATGAAATATGTATATGTACATACATGTATATATTGTACACACATATAAACATACATATACATATATACATACAGAAGGAGCTAAAGATGTTTCACTTCAGTCGAGTGCTCATAAGCACACTCGCTTTTTAAAATTTGTGGGTTTCCACAGATTCTAGTATGAGATAGAAAAACGGGTTTATATTTGACGACGACAACAAAGACTTAAATTGTAATTGAATCTTCTATCAACGTTAATTTCTTTAATAATAGGACTTAGTAAATAGTCTCGCAAACTGCAAATTTTTTAAACGGAATAAAGTTTGGTCAATTTTGAAATCTTCTTAAGTAATTTGATTTACTCAGTAAATAATTAACATAATGGGGATGACGACTAACTTTTTTTTTCTCATCTATTAGATGAATATCAAAAAGTAATTGACACGTATTTTCATGTTTTTCCAAAATTTTAATCATTACAGAGATATATTGATTTGAAATGTCGCGGGACGTCATGTTTTCGTACCATTTTTACTAATAAGTGAGGTCACGAACTTGCTCCCAAACTTTGACGCACTATCTTTGCGTTATTTTTTTGTTGATTGACAAAAGAAAATAGGTATAAGTGAAGTGACAAATATTTCTTGATAATCGTTAGATATCGGTCTAAATAAAATTTAGTTTATGAAAACCCCTAATCACATATATTTGGGGTTTTCGTAAACCTCTATTACAACCTCGAAATCCCGTCACCGTCCCTATTATTTAACTGCCTACTAAGGAATAAAAATCAAAATTCTCTATAATCTATCTAGAAATATGTCATAACAATTGAATTGAAATCACTTTGAAAGTAGTATATAAATAAATATTTCCAACACTCACACCAATTAGCCTAGCCCCAAAGTAAGTAAGCACTATAAGGCTTGTGTTATGGGATGCTAGGGTAACGGTTAGAATACAAATACTGAAACATATATAAGTATATTTATATACAAATACATATAAAACATCCATGACTGGAGTACAAATGCTCGTATTCATCACACAAACATCTGCGCCCCCCCCGGGATTCGAAAGTGGACTTCTCGATTCGTCGATACCATGAAACCCGGCGTACAAACCACTCGACCACGCAGGTCATCAAATACGTGGCCTTCGACTTCGTTAAAGGATTTTTTTACACTCAGTATAAGTATATTTATATACATATAAAACATCCATGACTGAAGTACAAATGCTCGTATTCATCACACCAACATCTGCCCCCACCGGGATTCAAACCCAGGACCTCTCGGCGACACCTAAAAACCGGCGTACAAACCAATAGGGGTGATGACGGGGTACAGTAAACGAAATTCTATTTAGTCCGTCAATTAGATGATCAAAAAATAATGCACACTTATTTTTTCTTTGGGCAATCAACCAAAAAATGACAAAGTTATAGCGCGTCAAAGCTTGGGAGTAGGGGCTCGTGACGTCACTTTTGAGTGAATTTTCACTTATAAGTGTACTCAAATGTGACGTCATGCGACTTTTCAAATCAATATATCTCTGCAATGTTTATATTATGTGAAAAAAGAAAAAATACCTGTCCAATACTTTTTGATAATCTACCTGATAAACGAAGAAAAAAAATTAGTCATCATCCCTATTGGGCTCGGAGGTCACTAATGTAGGCACGTAAACAAACCTCACCTGAGATATAATTCCTATACTCGTTCTCCACTTTGAGCCCGTGTTCATACATCTCTTTGGCAGCCTTCGCTGAAACTTTATCCGCCGGGTACCTGGTGTCCTTCACTTCTTTGATCTGCTTGAACGACTTGAACTTTATGAACAGCACTATGGGGTAGATCTGCTGCTTGTGAAGCTTCTCGATTGTGGACACGCTTATGTCCAGAATGCAGTGGATGCCCTGTGGGGAAAAGAAACTTTGAGCATATTGTAATAAGGTGTGAGATTGTGAGGTAATTTTTTTGCGTTGGTAAAAGCATTTTTGTAAATAACTAGCAGATCCAGCAAAAGTTGTTTTGCCGTATAAATGACTATGAAAACATAGGGGTTGGTAATAGAAGGGTGAAAATTTAGGGTTGTATGTAGTTTCATATTGCATGCATAAAGAAATAAAATTTCTTCATTCCATTCAATCGTTTGTGAACTATACAGTTCCATATACAGTTCAACATATAAAATGAAATGTCCTACACGTAAAACCGAATCTAGAACCGGTCAAAGATGGATAAATGGATGGCGCGGCAGGGCGGGCGCGGGCGCGGGCGCGGGGGCGGGCGGGGCCGCGAACACGTGCGGCCAGTCCGACACCAACATTGTTGACGTGAGTATACACCTGGTCGTTGGGCGGGCGCGGGTGCGGGTGCGCGTAGGGCGGATGGTCGGGGCGGCGCGGCAGGGCGGGCGCGGGCGCGGGCGCGGGGGCGGGCGGGGCCGCGAACACGTGCGGCCAGTCCGACACCAACATTGTTGACGTGAGTATACACCTGGTCGTTGGGCGGGCGCGGGTGCGGGTGCGCGTAGGGCGGATGGTCGGGGCGGCGCGGCAGGGCGGGCGCGGGCGCGGGCGCGGGGGCGGGCGGGGCCGCGAACACGTGCGGCCAGTCCGACACCAACATTGTTGACGCTCGTATACACCTGGTCGTTGGGCGGGCGCGGGTGCGGGTGCGCGTAGGGCGGATGGTCGGGGCGGCGCGGCAGGGCGGGCGCGGGCGCGGGCGCGGGGGCGGGCGGGGCCGCGAACACGTGCGGCCAGTCCGACACCAACATTGTTGACGTGAGTATACACCTGGTCGTTGGGCGGGCGCGGGTGCGGGTGCGCGTAGGGCGGATGGTCGGGGCGGCGCGGCAGGGCGGGCGCGGGCGCGGGCGCGGGGGCGGGCGGGGCCGCGAACACGTGCGGCCAGTCCGACACCAACATTGTTGACGCTCGTATACACCTGGTCGTTGGGCGGGCGCGGGTGCGGGTGCGCGTAGGGCGGATGGTCGGGGCGGCGCGGCAGGGCGGGCGCGGGCGCGGGCGCGGGGGCGGGCGGGGCCGCGAACACGTGCGGCCAGTCCGACACCAACATTGTTGACGTGAGTATACACCTGGTCGTTGGGCGGGCGCGGGTGCGGGTGCGCGTAGGGCGGATGGTCGGGGCGGCGCGGCAGGGCGGGCGCGGGCGCGGGCGCGGGGGCGGGCGGGGCCGCGAACACGTGCGGCCAGTCCGACACCAACATTGTTGACGTGAGTATACACCTGGTCGTTGGGCGGGCGCGGGTGCGGGTGCGCGTAGGGCGGATGGTCGGGGCGGCGCGGCAGGGCGGGCGCGGGCGCGGGCGCGGGGGCGGGCGGGGCCGCGAACACGTGCGGCCAGTCCGACACCAACATTGTTGACGCTCGTATACACCTGGTCGTTGGGCGGGCGCGGGTGCGGGTGCGCGTAGGGCGGATGGTCGGGGCGGCGCGGCAGGGCGGGCGCGGGCGCGGGCGCGGGGGCGGGCGGGGCCGCGAACACGTGCGGCCAGTCCGACACCAACATTGTTGACGTGAGTATACACCTGGTCGTTGGGCGGGCGCGGGTGCGGGTGCGCGTAGGGCGGATGGTCGGGGCGGCGCGGCAGGGCGGGCGCGGGCGCGGGCGCGGGGGCGGGCGGGGCCGCGAACACGTGCGGCCAGTCCGACACCAACATTGTTGACGTGAGTATACACCTGGTCGTTGGGCGGGCGCGGGTGCGGGTGCGCGTAGGGCGGATGGTCGGGGCGGCGCGGCAGGGCGGGCGCGGGCGCGGGCGCGGGGGCGGGCGGGGCCGCGAACACGTGCGGCCAGTCCGACACCAACATTGTTGACGTGAGTATACACCTGGTCGTTGGGCGGGCGCGGGTGCGGGTGCGCGTAGGGCGGATGGTCGGGGCGGCGCGGCAGGGCGGGCGCGGGCGCGGGCGCGGGGGCGGGCGGGGCCGCGAACACGTGCGGCCAGTCCGACACCAACATTGTTGACGCTCGTATACACCTGGTCGTTGGGCGGGCGCGGGTGCGGGTGCGCGTAGGGCGGATGGTCGGGGCGGCGCGGCAGGGCGGGCGCGGGCGCGGGCGCGGGGGCGGGCGGGGCCGCGAACACGTGCGGCCAGTCCGACACCAACATTGTTGACGTGAGTATACACCTGGTCGTTGGGCGGGCGCGGGTGCGGGTGCGCGTAGGGCGGATGGTCGGGGCGGCGCGGCAGGGCGGGCGCGGGCGCGGGCGCGGGGGCGGGCGGGGCCGCGAACACGTGCGGCCAGTCCGACACCAACATTGTTGACGCTCGTATACACCTGGTCGTTGGGCGGGCGCGGGTGCGGGTGCGCGTAGGGCGGATGGTCGGGGCGGCGCGGCAGGGCGGGCGCGGGCGCGGGCGCGGGGGCGGGCGGGGCCGCGAACACGTGCGGCCAGTCCGACACCAACATTGTTGACGTGAGTATACACCTGGTCGTTGGGCGGGCGCGGGTGCGGGTGCGCGTAGGGCGGATGGTCGGGGCGGCGCGGCAGGGCGGGCGCGGGCGCGGGCGCGGGGGCGGGCGGGGCCGCGAACACGTGCGGCCAGTCCGACACCAACATTGTTGACGCTCGTATACACCTGGTCGTTGGGCGGGCGCGGGTGCGGGTGCGCGTAGGGCGGATGGTCGGGGCGGCGCGGCAGGGCGGGCGCGGGCGCGGGCGCGGGGGCGGGCGGGGCCGCGAACACGTGCGGCCAGTCCGACACCAACATTGTTGACGTGAGTATACACCTGGTCGTTGGGCGGGCGCGGGTGCGGGTGCGCGTAGGGCGGATGGTCGGGGCGGCGCGGCAGGTCGGGCGCGGGCGCGGGCGCGGGGGCGGGCGGGGCCGCGAACACGTGCGGCCAGTCCGACACCAACATTGTTGACGCTCGTATACACCTGGTCGTTGGGCGGGCGCGGGTGCGGGTGCGCGTAGGGCGGATGGTCGGGGCGGCGCGGCAGGGCGGGCGCGGGCGCGGGCGCGGGGGCGGGCGGGGCCGCGAACACGTGCGGCCAGTCCGACACCAACATTGTTGACGCTCGTATACACCTGGTCGTTGGGCGGGCGCGGGTGCGGGTGCGCGTAGGGCGGATGGTCGGGGCGGCGCGGCAGGGCGGGCGCGGGCGCGGGCGCGGGGGCGGGCGGGGCCGCGAACACGTGCGGCCAGTCCGACACCAACATTGTTGACGCTCGTATACACCTGGTCGTTGGGCGGGCGCGGGTGCGGGTGCGCGTAGGGCGGATGGTCGGGGCGGCGCGGCAGGGCGGGCGCGGGCGCGGGCGCGGGGGCGGGCGGGGCCGCGAACACGTGCGGCCAGTCCGACACCAACATTGTTGACGCTCGTATACACCTGGTCGTTGGGCGGGCGCGGGTGCGGGTGCGCGTAGGGCGGATGGTCGGGGCGGCGCGGCAGGGCGGGCGCGGGCGCGGGCGCGGGGGCGGGCGGGGCCGCGAACACGTGCGGCCAGTCCGACACCAGCTTGTTCACCACGCACTCCCACAGCGGACCCAGCACCACCACCGGACGATGGTTGCCGTCTGCGGAACAATCAAATATGTTAAAAATATGCATTTACGCAGGTATTCAAATTTAAACGCATGCTCCGGTATATGACACCGTACGTGTACTCAACGGTTTTTTTTTTTTTCATTTCGATCGAACCTCCGTAGAAGCCTGTTTGCTTATCTGCCCCCATCGTAATCGAACCCGGGACCTCTCGAGTCGGCGACATCATGAACCCCGGCTTACAAACCACTCAACCACGGAGGTTGTCAAACGAATATAGTAAACTATATTGCCAAATATCTAACGAAATGTAGTGAACTAAATTGCCAAATACAGTTAATAGCCAGCCATTATTTTTATTTATGAAATAGTTTCTAAGAATATGATCAGTCAATTGATCAGTTGATTTTGATAAGTCTTTATGAATCCCCATCACTAAACTGCCTATGGTCAGACTTACCTACCTCTTTGTAAACTTTTGGTCTAAATCCTTTTGGAACAGACTATAAAACAAATCTTATTTATTTTGCGTTTGTGATGCGATAAAAATCTCTGTATATCTTAAAAACACATTATGTAATTCTAGTACTTTAATATTTTGTATGAATCAGCGAGATTGTATCTGGGCCCACTAAGTATCAAATGTCCGACTTCCTTATACCAACTGATGGCTTAACTTTTTTCATTTAATTTATGACATTTAGAGCTATTCACTGCGGATATTATACTCACAGTGCAACCTCTCCACTCGCTGATAAGACAGAAGGGGCGGTTCATCAGCCAAGGCTCCGGAATCACTCCAGCATCCCAACTCGGTATTAGAGAAGGAAGCTAGCTCCTTGCTATCTCGATGCTTCTTGCGACGAAAGAAAGAACGCCGCGCTGTGGTAGCGGCGCGACGTTGAGCTTCGCTCTCTATGCTGCCCATAGACCGTCGTAGGATCTCTTCGACTCTGGATGGAAATAAGGGTGTTTTTATTGTCACAAACTTTCTCGAAACGTAACCCCGAAAGTACTAGAGATCGAATTTGCCAGATCACCGCGGGTCGCGATAGAGGTCGAGTAATGCGGCTCATTCTAAAATGAGCCTTATGCAGTGCGGCGTAAGGGAGAAAGTGCAACGACATCTGCACTTGTTTACAAGTTATGCGCGTTACCTGCGTAGGTATAAGTAGGTACTCCGTACTCGCGGGTGCTAGCTAATTCTCAATTTAATAGGTAGGTAGGTATAAGTAGGCGCGATTGGCGCCGCGCAGAGACAGTTGAGTTTCAACAGCGATTTCGGAGCGAATCCAAAGGTGATCAAAGCGCAACAAAGTGTTCAAGTGAGATTGTTTAGAGACTTGTATTGTGAAATACAGTGTTTAGTGAGTGTTTTGTAATTAACATTGTGTGTTAATTGTGTGAACTGTGTGGTGAATAAAAAACTGTCAAGCGTGAACTGGCATATAATTTCGAACCCCATCCCGACTCGTAACATTATATTAAAAAGTTGGCAAGCAAGCTTATAGCCCTCCTGGTGGTAAACGGTCACCATAGCCTATATACGCTTGTGAACTAAATCTTGCAAACGTGTATTGTTTTATACCCTATTTATATGCCCAATGCAACGGGGAGGAAAGTTGTATGCCTACTCCCCTCCTGGCCGCATCGGCGCGTTGCTCTATGTTTGTATCTGTTCAAAAAGCGTAACTTTCAGATTGGTGAAAGTAAATTCGGTTTAAAAAAAAACACTCACTTAAATTTGCTAGGTATCGTCCCCCAATGCCTCTTGACGCCCTTACAGTCCAACTGCCAAGCGCGCCACAATCCCGGCGCGCCATTAAACAGTGTGTTGTCCACAAACAACACCTCGTCCTTCCTGAACCATAGAGAGTACTCGTCTATGGTGTCCATGCCTATAGAGGTTATTTTAGCGCAGCGATCGAAGCCGGCGCGGATGTAGAACGCGTCGCCAGGCTTGTCTTTTATCTCGTGGTATTGTTGGAGGTCGTGGCGGACTAGAACGCTGACCTAGTGAAGGATGAACAATGATTTGTTAATAGCCGTTTTTGTTATGTAAATAATACTTGACATTTCTTAATGTATCAAAGGATAAATACGATCCATGTATACAATATTACGTACCTAGGTAGTTAAAAAAAATGTTAATGAATATTTAAATGATAAAATGATTCAAAGAATACAATTGAAAATATATAATGTGTTGATTTTATTTTGCTTTTAATAAATGTTATTGTTAATGTTAATGAAAATTCAAATAATTTCACAATTTATACAATTGAGAATAAAGTGTTTTTTATAGAACCGTAAATAATTTTATTTTTTCTTGAACTGTAAATAATTTTATTATATATAATAAAGTATATTTTACATAATTTGTTAGTATTATCGTTTTCTCAAATGAAAGGACTATGGGCGGAATCGTCCCCACCCATCAGCACAAATGAAATGTACCTCAATTGATAGATCTTGGCAAGATGATAGTTTTTTACTATGGCGACGTTGCCCAAATGCATGGGGTTCTCATGGTATCTTACGTTCAAATAAATATCTCATTGACGTATTATTGACGACTAATTCCAAAATACCTACTCATTTTTCTTTTCATTAGTTTACAGCGGCGGGCTGCGCATGATCATAAAGATAACAGGTTACAAAATAACCCCGCTCCCCGCCCCATGCTCCTGCGCAGGCGTCCTAACCTCAGTCACAGTCAGTTCGCTGCATTGTACGTTAACGTTACTTTAAGTCTCTTCGGAAAGCTTTGACTTCCTACCCTTATGCTGCGTTGCACATAATCTCGTACCCTCTTCCCTGAGGATCCGAACCACATTTTCGAGGTTATAGTTTACGTCTGATGTGGTTTCCACGGCAGCATATCGGTTCTCCAGATTTAACTGGAACGTTTCAGATCATGTTATAGATTGGAGCAGAGTAGGTTGGAGCCTGGATTTCATCAAACGGACGCGCTCGGCCTTAAAGTTGATATTCAGAGACCGGTATTGAACCTGTTGATCACGGAGACGTCTCTCTGAATATGAACCTCTTGTTCGTCACGATGAAATCGATCTCATTTTTAGTCATAGTATCGGGGCTTTGCCACGTCCACTTCCTTTGGGGCTGTTTTTTGCAGAAAGAGTTCATCATGAAGAGCCCTTTCTGTTTGAGGAAGTTGACGAGCATTTGCCCCCTATGATTTCTGCTTCCAAATCAATGGAATCCTACTTATAACATAATAACGTTGTAGTAGGTCTTAGTAGTGGAGTGGAGGGCTCTCGATATATCATCGAACATATTCTCCACTTCGTTGTCGATGTCGGTGCGTACACTTGCACCACCTTGAGGCTATACCTCTCGGTGAGCTTTATAATAAGGTACACTACCCTGTTCGACATGACTGGTTTGGTGATATTATATCAATTATATACATTTCTACAACGTTATCGGCAAGGGATTTATTTACCAAAAACCCAACGCCACCTTGGGACTGTTGGTCTCCCCCGCGGAAGTACATTAGGTGGCCCGATTCGAGGGTTATGGTGTCCTCCCCCTCTTCTTCCTCGTCGCCTTCGTCCTCTTCGGACTTCACTAACTCTAACACGTGCCACCTAATCTTCCCAAGTTCCACCTCGAGTTGCGCCAGATGCGAGTCAAGCCGTAGCGTGCGTGCGTTGTACGTCGCCAGGGCCAGTCTATTGTGGTGGCCTCCCGTAGCCCGGAGATTTTTGGCACACCCCGCCCCGCCGTTACCATGGTCGCCACCGTGACCAGGAATAACGGGGCTGCCGGGAACTGGGGGCCGTGGTTTGTAGTCTGTGTGCATTAAAGATATTGACCGTAATCACCACGTTGGGCAGGCGGGTTGGTGATCGGTACACAGCTAGAATAATAAACATAAGTGAGTAAAAATGGGCACGATAATAGTGTGCAATAACATGCACTATTTTTATTGGCCTACTATGAGTGTTAAATGAATATAAATCATATACATATACTATACATATAATAGATAACTACCATTTCAAATACGTTTTGTATATTTTGTTTAATAACTCAATCATATTTTGTACTGTAATATAACCACAATATAAAAATAACTTACAAATGTGAAATAAAAATATACGTTAATTAATAATTACAAATTGTTTTTTTTATATATATACGCAGTGATTAATCTAAAATAAATTATTTTAATCAAATAGAGAGAACTTTAGAAACACATTGGTATCAGTTCCATGTTTGTTGGTGGGTGGGGACGGAGCCCATACATTTTTACCCATAGTCCTTTAATACCTATTTTAATTTATTGTAGATAGATATAATATGAAAAACTTGCAATTTGTGTATATCTATATATGCATCATTTACACAAATTTCAAGTTTTATCAATTGATATTTTATATTATCGCTATGAAATGTCAAATTTATTTAAATGTGTTTTGCTTACGTCACTAATAAATCATATTGGTTATTATTAACAAAGGATTAAAAGTATTAAAAAATCGGTCACAACTTCCGAAAAGTTCATGATTCTTCCTAAAAAATTTAAATTTTAATATTACGTTTATAAATTTAAGAAGTTATATATTACCGACATACAACTGGTAAGACTAATGAACCTACTTTATAACTCTGTCTGCCTGTCACTAAACTGGCCAATAAATCATGAAACCGAAAAGTTATTCACGGAAATATCCAACATTATAGTCATACTCGATGTAAGAAACAAAATCAATTTAAAACTTTATTTTAAACGTATATTTCTTTGCAACTACGTAAAATTTTATGTGACGTCTTACCTTGTCTGCTGGTTTGGCCAACTCCAAGGCAGCTTGCTCAGCGGTGGCTCTTCTCAGATCCACATTATTGTACTCTAATATCTGATCGCCTGTCCTCAGACCAGCGATATATGCCGGCGAATCCAGTTGGACACTATGTACAAAAATGCCGACAGCGTTGCCGCCCACCAAACTGATTCCCAAGTCTGAGCAATTTCTCATTTCGATCAGCAGAAACCTCGGCAACTCCTTATTGGCTGACGATTGCCGAACAGTCCCCGTATCGCCCGAAGGGGCTTCCATCCTTAGACTTTGCTGAGGACCAGGCGAGTTCCTAGGCGTCGGAGATCCCGATAACGACACCTCTTCATCATGAGAACTTTCTCCGGACGAAGAGCTGCCAGGAACCTCGACCTCGTCCTTATATTTCTCTGGACTGTATTGCACTAACATAGTTATTGAATTGCCGATTTGTCTTAGCACACGTGCGGCGAGAGTATAAGTCGCAGATCGCATATTTATCCCACACACTTCTAACAGTTGATCGCCTACTTGGAGACCGACTTGACTGGCGAGCGAATTCTCGTTGACAGTCGACACGAAAACGCCTCCGCTACTAGGAGGACAGTATATCTGTATGCCTAAAGGCTGCTGACTTTTATCTATGTGAACTCTCCGCAACTCCCCCGGCAAAGGTTTGTCCCAACCTAAACCGCAGTATTCGGGCATGGAATTCCTTGTGCCTTTATGCGTTAACTGTTTCGCTCCTCTTCCAGGACTTAATACTTCAACGTGAAAGGTAGGCATCGGGGAATTTCTTTCTGAACTCCTCTCAATCGAACCCGTACTCAGTTTCCCCGCGGAATTCTTCGAAGTTACGCTAGGGTTGGACGGAATACGAAACCTCTGGTTTTCCTTTTTTCTGGGAAACGTACCACCTTCGTAAGTGTGGTGGAATTCACCGGCTCGGTTCGCTCTCGGCACCGGTTGTAAGTCGGACATATTGTGCGTGTGAGAAGTGAACGAGTGCATCTCGTAGCTCGTGCCGATACTCTCGCCTGATTGGCTCTGAGGTATGTTAGTTGGGCTCGCTAAGTGCGGGTATCTAGTCGGATGCGGATTGGAGTTAACGAAAGGCCCTCTATAAAACTGCGATTGTAATCGTGACTGCGTGGGAAGCGTTCCAGTCATAGGATAGTTCGCATTGCTGTTGAGACTGTCCGGTCCGAAGCTGTCACTGTCCGAAGGGTATTTATTCACCGTTTTAGGCGACGACGATTTCTTACTAGAATAGTAGTTATCTAACAAATCCTTCCCAGGGTGATTCTTTATCGAGTGTTCTAAAGAAACCGGGGATTTTCTAGTCACGAAATCTAGTGAGCTCGGTCCTTTGTTCACCATGAAATCAAGCGAGTGCGGACTTTTCGTCCTGTTTCTTATGACAGGTTGGTAATCCAAAGAGTCGTCTGAAGGGTTCAAAACTAAACTGAGGCGGTTCGGCGTGATGTCGTGCTCTGAATAATCACTGATCGACATCTTGTCTTTCTCCAAGGTTCTGATTTTGTCGTAGTTAATGTTTGTGGGTGAGGCGTAAGGGTTGTGAATAGCGAGAGGGGCCGGTTTCGGAAAGTGTTCGATCGCTGGCGACGATTCGATGGATTTGTAGACGGAGTGCCTCGCCGGCGCAGTGGCTTGAGTGAGAGGAGCGTGACCTAAAGGTATGGGATTGGAGTTTCGATTGATGTTCGATCTTTGCGGTTCCGGTGGTAACTTTGTAGGTGGACTGAGCAATATGGAAAGAGGCGGTCTTTCCTTTCTAGAGCGAGGCTGGACGATGGTTCCTGTCGAGTTCTCTTCTAGAATGAAGTTGGCCCGTGCCTTGGGCCACGTCCCGCCATTTTTTGCATCGTTCTGAGACTCCTTGTTCTTCCGTCGTGAACGTTTCAAAACGCTACTCGTCTCTTTGACTGAAACAAAAAACAAAGTTAGTCACAGCACACAGATGACATATAAAAAATTTTGGACCAAATTTCTTTCCCATCACTCACTCGTCTTGCCATGATAGCTGTCGATAACTGAATCTAACTCTGCGATAGCGTCGGTTTCTGGCACCTGCAACAAAACACTTGTCACTGAGATAACACGATAGGTGCGCAAGCACTGTTCGTGCGCAATACGTCATGATCAATGGCTATCTATCTATCTTCGTGCGACTTATCTTAAAATATAATTTATCAAATTACTCAGAATAAAAACTGTCATGAGATTCAGTCTCATCTCATTTGTATAATTGATCATACTGTTAAGATATTTTCACATGTCTGAGTAACCATCAATATTTTATTCATGGTTTATATCCTAAATAGGATAATTGACAGTATTGAAAATAAAGTGCTAATTGTTAGCATCTGTATTTAGAATGAATATTGGCAGGGGTTTTTACTATTATTGCAGAAAAAATTCATAATTTTACTAAAAACCCACGAAAAAAAGATAATAGTTTTCATATCTATTGTCACGTGATTGAAAACGCCTGGGATTGGCGGAGCCTAAAATGACGTCACACACTAGTAAACTTCAGGTGACAAAGTGACATTACATTGTATCGTTTGACGATTTAATGACAGTCGTGTGACGTCACACCCCAGACTCCATGTTGCCCAGAGAAACGTTTTCGCGGCAACTTGAAAATTGAGTTTTTGATTTAGTTATTTTTACTGAAATACACAAGTGAATGATGAATATCCACTTTTTATGAACTCCATATTTATTAGTAAGTAACGTGAGATCGTTTTCCAAAACTTGTCAAATACCCTATTAAGATAACTACAAAATTAAAGCAAAGAGTATTTGACCTTTTATTTTATAATTCGTAAGTAAAAAATATAAATTATTACACTTGACGTTAAGACCGTTAATTAAGTTCAGCCAAGGCCTAAAAGTGACGAGTTTGACTCGCACCTCAACAAAATAAAATAAAAAATTGTGTGTGTCAGCTCCGACGCACGACTGGAGTTTACTCCTTAAGTTCGATAGTCTAACCAGACGCAAAAAGAGTTTATTTAACTTAAAAAAGATTGATACTGTATGAAAGGGTAAATTAACAAATTAATGAAAATAATATAAATATAAATTTATTCATTTCATATACATTTATTATAATTAATCGACGAAATATTTTACATTAAACTTTTTACAATAGTAAATTTCAGATGTGCATAAATATATCATTAGGAATGTTGATAAATTATGTAATTATTATTATCAGACTATTATAATTTTTTTAAATATTAAATAAATCAACATTGTCTGCATTATTAATTACAGTGACAAGTGGTTTATGGTAACTTAAATAAGACACATGGACGTTTAATGTCAATCCGTCATCTTTGTTTGTCAAAGTTGCGCGACATAGGATGCGCACCAAAAACGTAACGAGGTCATTCATCGATAGATTTTACTCCTTTCATACCGAGCCCCTTATATATGCAAATCGATTCTTAAGGAGTACACTCCAAAAAAAATAACAGGCAAGAAGAGGCAGTTATCTTTTACCAGAATACAGATTCTTCTAGTAAATAAAATAATGAACATTTGTGATAAGCGGCGCTGCGTGAACTAACTCAATATTAAACTGACATTTCCAAAATAAGTAACAGCCGCACTCAAGAGTATTAAATACTTTATCAAGTTTGATTACAATAGGGGTGATGACGGGGTACAGTAAACGAAATTCTATTTAGTCCGTCAGTTAGATGATCAAAAAATAATGGATACGTATTTTTTCTTTGGGCAATCAACCAAAAAATTACAAAGTTATAGCGCGTCAAAGTTTGGGAGTAGGGGCTCCTGACGTCACTTCTAAGTGAAAATTGTACCAAAACGACGTCACGCGACTTTTCAAATCAATATATCTCTGCAATGTTTACATTATGTGAAAAAAGAAAAAATACGCGTCCAATACTTTTTGATAATCTACCTGATAAACGAGGAAAAAAAAATAGTCGTCATCCCTATTGTAGCTACAATTTTTTTTGATGCGTACACAATAACACAACATTTGACAAGCATTAATTTTAAGTGACGTGAGTGCGGCTGTAAAATCAGAAAAAAAATATCAGATAAGTTTCAAGTCGAGTTCCTATAAAACAAAGCATTTTCATTGACAAATTATGTGTGTCGATGATTAGGTGTATCATTAATGACTTAGTTTTGTCTATGACTAACCTTATTCTGCTTGTCTTTGGACTTGCTGCGTCCCGTGACCGCTTCAATCTTCCCTCGGATCATGTCCCAAGTGCCTGTAACCGCCCGTAAGTCAGAATCCCTTATCAATCTGGCGCGATATCTTATCGATATTCCAACAAACTCGCCGAACGTAAACAAACATCATCGGCGATTTATCAGCCGAAGTATACGTGAATGGGGATTAGTATTTGTGTTTTTATCGAAAAAGAAATCTACATTCGAATGTTAATAAATAAATAAATATTTCCAACACTCACACCAATTAGGCTAGCCCCAAAGAATACATATATTGTACATATATATTTATATAGAAAATACAATTAAACATCCATGACTGGAGTGCAAATGCTTGTGTATTCATCATACAAACATGTGCCGTCACTGGGATTCGAACCAGGGACCTCTCGAGTTGGCGACACCATGAAACCCGGCGTACAAACCACTCGGCCACGGAGGTCGTTAAAATGCAGATTGCATTCGAATGTCAATATTTGATGACAGTTTTTTTGTTTGTTTGCCGATTACGTGGAGATGTTCGGCAATGTTGAAAAGTCTCTTTTAGCAGTACGACCAATCTCTATAGGGGTAGTTATAACTCGTGTCATTAAAGAAAAGGAGTCGAAATCTTTTACTACAAAAAAAATCCACGCGGTTCAGTCTTCAAACGGGACTCGAACCAGCACCCTTCGCTATCCGGGCGGATGCACTGAACATTTTGCTACCGCTCTAGTATTTCTTAGGACGCAAGGCAGCGCCATTCCTTCACATTGAAGGTAACCCACAATGTAAAATGAATACCTTTACAAGTATTACATTTATAAGAATAAATGGAAATTATAATTATATTTTTAGAAATTAACTGAAAGTTCTTTAAATCTAAAGGTGTTTTTCCCCTAAATTAAAACATAAGAATAAATAGTAATTATATTTATATTTTAGCTATTAACTGCTAGTTCTTTTTAAATATAAAGGTTTTTTTCTCTAAATGAAAACTACTAGCAGTTAATAGCTCAAAAAATAAAAATATAGAGATACTTAAACTTGGCGGCGAGTCACAATAGATCTTTTAGATGGCAGCGACTACAATTACCAACACACATGAGATAATAATAATATTATACGTACTAAACTCGTAACTTAAGGAAATAACGGTTAACGCTGTAAACAAATGAGGAGTTGGCGAACAAAACGGTATAATTACGCATCTGGTCAAACTACTTTTTTTTACAGACCGGTGGTTTCCGGCCCGTTGAATTTAAATCTCATATAATGTTCAATCAAAACCGCTTAAAACAGTGTTTAAATTACTAAATATACTGGGTGGTCCAACTACTGACGATTTTTCTTAATTTTCCAGTTACAATTTTTTTGTGTATTTTTATTGATATCCAGCGAGCTAAATTAAACTTAAAAATGGAATTTCAAATTAAATTTAATTGAAATTCCTATAAAATAATTTGTTGACGTCACTAGTTGGACCACCCTGTATAAATTAAAAACTATGCCAAAAGCACCGTGTAGGTATGTCATTCAGTTTTTTAAATGTAATTATACCGTTTTGTTCGCCAGCTCCTCAAATATGATCCTAAGATTATTGACTATGTACCGACCTCTCTCCTGGTGTATCTTCCCCTGGCTGCCTGCCACGTGGTACACGTAACGCCTGTCCAAATCAGACGCGCAGTGGTCTATGTGCACCTTAAAACAAACCGCTCAATTATCGTTACCATACACCACACCATGATCGAGGATTTCGATGGCGCAAGTGATCAGCGCGTTCGGCCGCGATCGTTGAAGTTAAGCAACTTTCGCAGTGGTCGGTCATTGGATGGGTGACCAAAAATTTCAGACACGTTAAGCCGTTATTCCCGGCTGCAACTGCAGTCGTTAGCACCTAATAATCTACACTGGGCCTATTATTCCAATTCCATCCATAGGGACTTGTGCCCCAGCAGTTGAGACACTAATAGGCTAACGATAACGAACGATTTTGATGTAAGTGTCAAATTAATACCCACTTATATGCACTGGGTTACTAGTTTACTGGTTAACGACTGTTAATAGAATTGGCGTGGCATTTTTACTATCCCGTATTATTTCTATGTGGAGAACAAGTTTATAATTCATTATGCAAATACAATGCATATTGGTCGGTACTAAGTCGTATCATCCTTACGTGAATCACGGAAAATCAGCGATATTAAATACCCTATATACACCACGTGCGCTGAAAATGTGTCCCAATGAAGAAGTGCTTGAACACAACTCGAACACTTCTTGGTTCACAGTCCCGCTCGGACCGTTGAAAAGTCAAGATGCCACAGAGCTCCGTGAAAGTTGCGAAAAAAATACTTAATGTATGTAAAGTGTCATTTTTTCGACAGGTATCCAATCAATGTTTGTTAATTTAACGCATTTGAAGCAAATTTCGTTCTACTACTTACTATAAACTGATTTAATAGAAAATATTTGTGATATTCAAATGCATGGTCGGAAATATAGTCTCTTTTCCTCACGGTCCGTACCTGCTATATTACTAACAGCGCATCCAGAATAGCGCGTACAGTCAAATAAATACGGTCTATGTTCGTCCACATATAGCAATAAGTCGTAAAAACGAGCTTGCATTTCGAACTGTCACAATTCTTCGACGCATGCGTTTTCATTAAGATTTTATACAGTATGCATGAAAGGTGAGTATCAATGTTTAAATAACGCCTTATATTGTTTTTGATAACGCGAATTTCTTACGGAGCTCCGTAGACCGTACAATGTACCTTTTGGACAGGTTTCGGCGACGCTTTTGTTCGCGTTGTTGTATCTAGGGTATTTAATATCGTTGCGGAAAATCTGAAAAGTCAAAAGTGAACGTAAATAATTATACATTTAAACAGGACTCACCTTTGGGTCTTGCGGCAGCGGCACAAAGTGACAATACGACTCGTCAGTCTGCGAGCAGATGTTCACTTTGCCATCCGAAAACGAGTGCTCGTACAAACTGAACCTATTGGAAAAAATTACATTCAACAGAGCTAAAACTTACTGCAAAACACAACACCCTCTCTACTCGTAATCTCTGGCGGAGTCAGGTAAAATTACAATAAATAAATAAATATTTCCAACACTCACACCAATTAGCCTAGCCCCAAAGTAAGCACTGTAAGGCTTGTGTTATGGGGCAATAGGGTAACGGATAGAATACATAAACTGATACATATATAGGTATAATTATATAAAAAGACATATTAAACATCCATGACTGGAGTACAAATGCTCGTATTCATCACACGAACATCTGCCCCCACCGGGATTCGCACCCGGGACCTCTCGAGTAGGCGTACACCTTGAAATACAAACAAAATCAACAATGTAATAGAGATAACGACGGGATAAAGTTAACGAAATTCTATTAAGTCCAACGATATTAAATACCCTAGATACACCAACACGAACAAAATCATTCCCGAAACCTATCCCAAAAGTACATTGAACGATCCACGGAGCTCCGTAAGAAATTCGCGTTATCAAAAACAATATAAGGCATTATTTAAAGATTGAATGTCACCTTTAATGCATACTTTATAAGGTCTTAATTAAAACGCATGCGTCAAAGAGTAACGACAGTTTGAAATGCAAGCTTGTAAAATTTTACGACTTATTGCTATATGCGGAAGAACAAAGACCTTATTTCTTTGACTTAACGCAATTATCAATGCGCTGTTAGCAATATAGCAGGTACGGACCGCGAGGAGGAGACCACTATATAACCGACCATACATCTGAATACCATAAATATTTTCTATTAAATCAGTTTATAGTAAGTATTAGAACAAAATTAACAAACATTGATTAGATACCCGTCGAAAAACGACATTTTATATACTACAGGTATTTCTTCGCATTATTTCACGGAGCTCTGCGGCATATTGACTTTTCAACGGTCCACGCGTAACTGCGAACCAAGAAGTGCTTGAGTGGAGTTCTAGCACTTCTTGATTGGGACACATTTTTAAGCGGACCTGGTGTATCTAGGGTAGTTAATATAGCTGATTAAGTCCGTCAGTTAGATTATCAAAAAAATCATGGACACATATTTTTTCATTTGTTCATCAACCAAACAATGACAAACATTAAGCGCGTTTGGGAGTGGGGATCAGTGACGTCAGTTCTAAGTAAAAAATCAAATAAAATAATACACACATATTTTATCTTCTGTTCATCAACCAAACAAAGATAAAGCGCGTTTGGAAGTGGGGATCAGTGACGTCAGTTCTAAGTAAAAAATGTACCAAGACGTGACGTCGTCCGATATTTGAAATCATTATATCTCTGTAATGTTATGATTTTTGCGAAAAAAGGAAAAATACGTGTCCAATACTTAATATATTACTGATAATCTACCTGATAGACAAAGAAAGAAAAAAGTGGTCATCATCCCTATTGATGTAATATCATTATAAAGGCAAGGCCAAAATTTTTATTTCCCATGAACCTTTTCTTTCGATACCTTTAGTTTAAGGACTTAATCTGGTACTCGAGATACTCGGTCTTCATCCGAAGCAGCGGTATTCGCACTTCCTTGCGCTGTGTGCGATCCATTTTTTATTTTTTAATATGGAAATATTACACACACCCACCAATTAGCCTAGCCCCAAAGTAAGCACTGTAAGGCTTGTGTTATGGGATGCTAGGGTAAAGAAGACATACACATAAGTCCCTTTATATATTTGTTTATTCCGGGGAACGCTTCTTCATACAGGCTATGTGTTCTAGAAACACAAATAATATAAATTTTAGTGCTCTTGCTACGGAGACAGGTTTTCTATCTCAAGTAAACACTCTCAGTCAAAAAAAACAAGTGTGCTTATGACCACACGATTGAAGTGAAACTTCTTTAGCTCCATCTGTATATATATATATTCGTGTACAATATATACACGTATGTACTAAGGCTTTCAGTCTCGATACATTTTCGAGTCCCTGGAAAAAAAACGTGACTCGGTCCCGGGATTCCCGGGAAAAACGAGACTTTCGAGACTTTGAAAACAAGTTTCATACTCAAGGTTTATCCAATTAGGCAATTAATACAATATGTTCCAATGAAGTACTTTAATAATCAACTATTACAATATAATCAAATGTAAGTAAAATTAACATTTTTCATTTTTATAATAGGCACGCAGAAAGGAAAGGCATTCAAAGTGTTTTCAGATAGAGAGGATCTGATCTTGTTGCAAAAGTAACCTGCATTAGAAAGGAAAAGCTCTCTCTGCTTCGACGACAAATAATTATAGCACTGATTTAAATGCTTACCTACCTCTGTTGCCACCATTCTCAAAGAGAGCTTTTTCTGCATGTAAAGTCGTTTGCAAGTCATGGATGCTAGTTTGTTTTTCTATTTTTTGAGGATTTAGCAAGTTTTCAAGCTCACACGCTAGCTGTTCTTTAGCAGTTAAACTGGTGAGCTCCGCAATTGTGATATCATTAAAATCATTGGCACTGGAATTCACTGAATAACTATCAGAAGATTATTTAATTTAAGTCTCGAAAGTCTCGAAAACTGGAGTTGAGGTCTCGAGTTTCGAAAATACGACAAAATCGTCTAGACTCTCGGAATTTTCGAGACCGAGATTCCCGGGATGAAAGCCCTTATATGTACATATACATATTTCATTTACTAGCTATAAGAGAGAGAAAGAAAATGTGCGCGCGCACTGCTTTCTCTTGCTTATATCCCCCACTCAACTCCTGTTCGCCTCGCCCGAACACACTTTTCGTAACGCGCAAAGCATTCGCCAGCTTACCCCCCAAGTCAAGCGTGCGTCAAGAAGTTTAACTTCAAAAATCTTAATATAGTCGGTTTAATACTACCTGTCCCTTGTATCGCAGCACGGGTACAGCGGCCGCAACACTGTGAGTATCACAGATTCGTATTGATATTCATTCAACACAGCCATCGCTTCTGATACACTCTTCATGCCTTCTAAAGACCTGTTGTTTATCTGCAACAATAATTATATGATGCAGTTTAATCGTCACTTTTAAATTTAAAAATAGTACCTAGCTATACTTAAATTATTGATAATGAATAATATCAATGCGATGAAAGTTGACATCAATACATGTTTTCAGTTTTTGATGTCATCTTTCAATAGGGTATTTGACACCTATTTACAAAACGATCTCACGTTATTGACTAATGTCTATGGAGTCCGTAAAAAGTGGATGTTCATCATTCTGTTGTGTATTTCAGTAAAAATAACCAAATCAAAAACTCCATTTTCAAGTTGCCGCGAAAACGTTTCTCTGGACAATATGGCGTCTCACTGGTGTGTGACGTCACACGACTGTTATTTAAACGTCAAACGATACAATGTAATGTCACTTTAACGGGAAGTTTACTTGCGTGTGACGTCATTTTAGGCTCCGCCAATCCCAAGCGTTTTGTGTCACGTGACAATAGATAAGAAAACTATTATCTTTTCGTGGATATTTAGTAAAATTATAAATATTTTTTCTGTAAAAATAGTGAAAACCCCTACCAATATTCATTCTAAAGACAGATGCTAACAATTGGCACTTTATTTTTAATACTGTCAAATACCCTATTGACGATACTGTATGAAACAAAACATGATACGAGGAAGCATGATACGAACTGATTCGAACTCGGGACCTCTCGAGTCGACGACACCATGAAACCCGGCGTACAAACCACTCGGCCACGGAAGTCGTTAATGTAGTTCATAAACGTTAATAAGACACTATAATTTACTACACCAAAATATCTTAACAAAAATCCGAAGTGTACTTACACTGACTACACGGTCACCAACGTAGAGATTGCCTTCCTTAGCGGCCGGACTGCCACATGCGATTTTATTAATGAAAATACCTGCGCAAAATCAAACTAATATTATAAAGGCGATACAATAATGCGTGCTATTAAGCAATTTTCGATCATATTTACGCTCTAACAATAACTATTTGGACTCCATTTCTAAGATACGGAGGAGCTCGATGGCGCAAGTGGTTAGCGCGTTCGGCTGCGATCGTTGAAGTTAAGCAACTTTCGCAGTGGTCGGTCATTGGATGGGTGACCAAAAATTTACTATCTCGAGCTCCTTCGTGCTTCGGAAGGCACGTTAAGCCGTTGGTCCCGGCTGCATCTGCAGTCGTTAGCACCCACCAATCCGCACTGAGCCCGTGTGGAGGGTCATGGCCCAATCTCCCTATTCCATCCATAGGGAAGTCCTGTGCCCCAGCAGTGGGGGCATTAATAGGCTGATGACACTAATCACACTAATATTATAAAGGTGAAAGTTTGTGAGTGTGTGTGTTTGTTACTTCTTCACGTCTAAACGGCTGGAGTGATTTGAATAAAATTTGATATGGAGTTAGCTGACACCCTGCATTAACATATAGGCTACGTTTTTCTGTGGGAAAATATCCCTAATAAACCGCGGGTAAGACCGCGGGGCACAGCTAGACAGGGCTAATTATAAATGAAAGTATAAAGATCATCTATCTTTTGGAGTTTTAATATGTCTCTTATACTACTACCAAAATATAGATCAGCCCGCCTTTGCTCACATATGTTTGTATTGTGTCTAAATATTGTTAGTGTGCAATAAGAGTCTATTATGTTTTTAAAAGATATACAGATTTTGGGAAATTCATAGTTTCTTAGTGTTTTTTATTTAATTCAAGAAAAAACTGTAGTTAATTTATCGTATGATTTGATGAAAGTGCTTTACTTGAAATCAAGCGGTTTTGCTATCGGATTTTAGATTAGGCAGCACATACCGCGGAGTCGTGAAAGAGCTCGACGACGCAAGTTGATAGCGTGTTCGGCCGCGATCGATGTAGTTAAGCAAATTTCGCAGTGGTTGGTCACAGGATGGGTGACCAAAAAATTTCTCCTTCGTGCTTCGAAAGGTACGTCAAGCCGTCGGTCCCGGCTGCATCTGCAGTCGGGAGCACCCACCAATCCGCACTGGGCCCGCGTGGTGGGTCACGGCGCAGTCTCCCTATTCCAGGCAGATAGGGCCTGCGCGCCGGGCCTCGCGTATAGGGACCTAGATAGGTAACGATGGTGATGATGATGATGATGCCGGTGTACCGTGCTGCAGCTGCAGGCCGCCCGCAGCTGGCAGGCGCAGATGTCGCCGTAGGGCGCGGGCTCGCTGCACGCGTAGGGCGGCGTGTCCGTGCTGCAGGGCGGCGCGTAGGGCGGCAGATAGGGCCTGCCCGCTCGACCACGCGCAAACGCCGCAAGCCTCCGTCACGCGGTCTAGCACTCTGACAGAGGGAGTGCGAGATTATTTACTTTCATTCAGCATTGGATGTGTTCCTATAAAATGGCCAAGTAGAAATCTAATGTTCTCTTAGAGAGATGTTTCAACGAATTGTTTTTAATTATAGAAAAAAAGCAAGAAAACAGTTATATCAAAAATAATTAATGTCATACGTTTTATTTAAGATTTTTTAATTAAGCCTCCAAATCAGGTCGGTATAGCGACGAGAGTAAGTGTTGATAAAATACCTAATGTTTATTTTTTAAACCCTTAGGATATATATATACAGGGTGTTACAAAAATACAAATAAAGCTTGAAGGGCGTTGAAGTACATCATATGAGGAGTCTTCCCTAATTTTCTTAAAATTTTTGCATGAAGTTTTAACTTTTCATAAAAACAGTTATTTTTAATGATTATATAGTGTATATATAGTGACGACCTCCGTGGCCGAGTGGTTTGTACGCCGGGTTTCATGGCGTCGCCGACTCGAGAGGTCCCGGGTTCGAATCCCGGTGGGGGCAGATTTGTGTGATGAATACGAGCATTTCTTTTCTCTCTTTCGAGAGACTCCAGTCATGGATGTTTATTATGTATTTCTATATAAATATACTTATATATGTATTCTATCCGTTACCCTAGCATCCCATAACACAAGCCTTGTACAGTGCTTACTTTGGGGCTAGGCTAATTGGTGTGAGTGTTGGAAATATTTATTATTATTTATTTATTTAATCTACGAAGACTAAGTCTATTACATAATTTTAAGTTACATAAAACTAGCAGAAAGCCTAATTTATAGGTTCTCACCGAATATAAAAAATAAAGGCGTGAATTTTATGTTTTCATATCGTGCAAAATTTTAAAAACCCGCAATAAAGAATTTAAATTCTACTCATGAAGTCGACTCATATAGTTATGTTATTTTTACTCATCGATGAGGGGACGTTGCAGCGCAAACTAGCAGTTACAATGACGGCGGAATTCGAATGTCAAATGGATAAATGTCATTACGTTATTTATGTAAACAAACAAATAATTTCAATGAAATATCGTAATTTGCATAAATTCAGATTTATACATAATTATTAATTAGCAAATGGCAAGTTTATTTATGTAGGTAGTTTGTAGAAAAATTATCAAATATATTCTATTCAATAGGTAACTAAATCAGTAATAATTATTTTATTCATCTCTTATTATATCATAAGGTATTTTATTCAAAGAAAAATTAATCATAATTGATATAATAATTTCACTACAATAGGATATTTGACAAGTTTTAGAAAACGATATCACGTTATTGACTAATGTTTATGGAGTCCGTAAAAAGTGAATATTCATCATTCTGTTTGTGTATTACAGTGAAAATAACCAAATCAAAAACTCCATTTACAAGTTGCCGCGGAAACGTTTCTCTGGACAATATGGCGTCTTACTAGTGCGTGACGTCACACGACTGTTATTAAAACGTCAAACGATACAATGTAATGTTACTTTAACCGGAAGTTTACTTGCGTGTGACGTCATTTTAGGCTCCGCCAATCCCAAGCGTTTTGAGTCACGTGACAATAGATAAGAAAACTATTATATTTTTCGTGGGTTTTTAGTAAAATTATGTTTTTTTTTTTTTGTAATAATAAAAACCCCTGCCAATATTCATTCTAAACACAGATGCCAGCAATGGGCACTTTATTTTTAATATTATAAACAAAAAAATAAATAACAAGTACCCTCGTAATTTTTAAATATATATACATATTTACTGTTTATTTTATGCATGTTTTTATTTCATTTTGGTTGATTGCAGACATATGAATGTTTATTAGACTCGTGACTTAGTGACTTTTCTCAGGTAATATCAAGTTTTCATTCCTTTCGCCCGCTTTGTTTCATCACTTAGGATTGAAGACTATTTCATCAATGTTTTTTTCTTTATTTTTATGTTTTCTTTTTGGTAACTAAGGTTTACTTATGTTATTCAGCTGTGTACATTTTTGCTGGCCTTTGGTTGTTTAATGTACCTTTATAAATAAAAAAAAAGAAAACTGTCAAATACCCTATTTCACGAATAATGCATGACTGGACTTATTGCCATAAGTAATTCACAACCTGAATTGAGATAGAAAATACAATATATTCCGTAATTCTCAAAAATCTAACAATAACGCTAAATCTAATAAAATAACGCTTTCAGCGATAAGACCGCATTTACTCACCATAGTTTAGCTGGTATATCTGTTTTTGCAAGCCCTTTAATTGCGTTCCTGTGTATAACTAACTAATGATCTTCCCCTCGGCCACGAATGCTTTCTTGACAGCGGTGACGTACACGCTATAATCGTTGGAGTAGCAGGGCTCGTCCCTACCACGTAGCTATAATATAACTCACTTGATCTTCCCCTCGGCCACGGATCCCTTCTTGACGGCGGTGACGTACACGCTATAATCGTTGGGGTAGCAGGGCTCGTCCCTACCGCCGGACAGTTCGAAGCCCAAATCGCCATCCTTGCTCAAACCACTCAACTCTACGTCGATCACGTCCCATTCGTAATCCTGGTATTGAAAAACGCGATTAGGATTGCGTTATTAACACGTTTCCTTTTGCGTTAAAAGAAATAGAAAGCTGCTGAAGGAGCTTATTAAAAACTATTCTATACTCTTGCCCGACACTTAAACTATATATATCTATATATCAAATTTCATCACTATCAGTTCAGCAGTAAGCGTGAAGAGGTAACGGACAGAAAGACAGACCGATAGACACAGTTTCGCATCTGCTTGGTTTATTTCCGACACAAGATACCCGTTTTCATCCCTTCAAAGGATGATTACCGGGATTAAAACCATCGTATGGCCTTTCCCGGGACTCGAACTATATTTATACCAATATTTCATCTAAATCGGAACAGACAGACACACGTTGATGCAGTATAGCTGTATAAGCTTGGCACAAGCGGATGCCTTTATATGCGGTCTCTAGTGGGGCTACTTTGTGATTTGACCACAATTTATCACAGCATTATGAACCCTATTCCCTTACGTTAAGTACTTGTATGTTGTGGTCGACGGCTCAGTCTCGGTAAAGCGCGTGTCCCAGCTTTTCATCATGTTCACGCGTGCCTTTCCAATGAACGCAATTTATCACAGCATTATGAACCCTATCCACTTACGTTAAATAAGACGACTCTAATTGTGAATGCGCGCGTATCTCTAGCGTTGATTTCAATGTACACATTATCTGTATCGTGTTTCTCCTGTGTGGAAGTCAAGCAACTTTCGCAACGGTCGGTCATAGGATGTGTAGGCAAAAAAAAATATTTCGAGTTCCTCCGTGCTTTGGAAAGCACGCAAAACCGTCGGTCCCGACTGCATCGGCAGTCGTTAGCACCCTAACGAACGAAGGCCTTTGCCCCAGCAGTGGGGACATTAATAGGCTGATTATGATGATACATGTTGTCATCTTAGATTTAAACAAAAAGGGAAGATACTGCACTCGCGGCTCGAAAGTGATCCGCTTAAATTGTGGTACATGGACCACATATGGGTATTTGACAAGTTTTAGAAAACGATCTCACGTTATTGACTAATGTTTATGGAGTCCGTAAAAAATGGATATTCATCATTCTGTTGTGTATTTCAGTTAAAATAACCAAATCAAAAACTCCATTTTCAAGTTGCCGCGAAAACGTTTTTCTGGACAATATGGCATCTTACTAGTGTATGACGTGACACGACTGTTATTAAAACGTTAAACGATACAATGTAATGTCACTTTAACCGGAAGTTTACTAGCGTGTGACGTCATTTTGGGCTCCGCCAATCCCAAGCATTTTGGGTCACGTGACAATATATAAGAAAACTATCATCTTTTTCGTGGGTTTTTAGTAAAATTATGATTTTTTTTTTGTAAAAATAGTAAAAACCCCTGCCAATATTCATTCTAAGCACAAATGATAACAATTGGCACTTTATTTTTAATACTGTCAAATACCCTATTCGCTTTAGTCACAATTGGACATCCAAACACGCTGCATGTGCAATCAATACTGTGTATATTCTGTGTTTTAAAGATAAAACAATGCCTTCGATGCTTTCATAAAGAACAAAAACAGTTCCAAGATCAAATAACAAATTTCACGGCAACGCTTTTCATTCGTAAAATTATGAAAACATTTTTTTTCTCAGAAATCATGGTTTTGTCATTAATGATATTTACTTTTTCACCGTTTGTTATCAAGAAAAGGACCACAATACAGCTCAGCCGTCTGTAGAGAGAAAGAACCACAATACAGCTCAGCCGTTTGTAGAGAGAGAAAGGACCACAATACAGCTCAGCCGTTTGTAGATAGACAAAATGACCTAAATGCAGCTCAGCCGTTTGTAGAGAGACAAAAGAACCACAATACAGCTCAGCCGTTTGTAGATAGACCAAATGACCTAAATACAGCTCATCCGTTTGTAGAGACGAAAGGACCGCAATACAGCTCAGCCGTTTGTAGATAGACAAAATGACCTAAATGCAGCTCAGCCGTTTGTAGAGAGACAAAAGAACCACAATACAGCTCAGCCGTTTGTAGAGAGACAAAAGGACCACAATACAGCTCAGCCATTTGTAGGAAGAGAAAAGGTCCACAACACAGCTCAGCCGTTTGTAGAGAAAAGAAAACGCAGTCGCCAAGCCAAGTGACGCGGACTAGCCGTTTCGCTCCCGCTACGTTGAAGCGTCCACTTCTGTCTCGCTCGCTCGATTGAATGTTTATTTACAGACGTGTGAGAGTTGCTTATGTAGTTGAGTCGGATCATATTTAATTTGTTGATAGTATGAGCCTACCGTATCTTCCCTTTGTTTTCTATATTCTAAGGTTGCCATAGCATTACGAACCCTATCCCCTTACGTTAAGTACCTGTATGTCGTGGTCGACGGCTCTGTCTCGTGAATGCGCGTGTCTCGGCCGTTCGTCGTGTTCTCGTTTGTCTTTGGATTCAGATTTCTTAGCACCTCCGTGGCGACGCGCATCCGCTAATTCACCTACCATTTGGTCGCGTTCCTAATGACAAATAATAAAAACAATACAGCACCCATGGAGGTTAAAGAAAGGGAGAACGATCGATACGTGCTAAAGCATTATTTTAGCCCGCCTGTCCCTGAAAATTTGTAGAATTAATAGTTCATTTTTCAGCTACCAGCTGCGCTGCCGTCGATAAGTTGTATCTGTGAAGTTAGCTGTTTATACAAGTAGATGAAGTTAGTTGAATAATGTACAAATTTTCTTCGCGGCATTGGTCATTTCAAATTAGCGCACAAACGGTCCGCTTTTATTGAGACAACTTAGCGATCGCAGCGCCTCACTTATTTTGTCCATATTTGTAGGACACTATTTTACAGCGATCGTTCTCCTTTTCTTTAACCTCCATGACAGCACCATAAACCAAAGAATCTCTTATCTATTAGACAAGTCCGTCCGTCCGTCTGTCTGTGGTGCTATTTCAGCGGCCAAACCGTAAGAGATAGATAAAGAGAATATTTAAGTTATAAGTTAAGAATAGTCTGATTAGACTACAAACCGGATTTGAGTGACGTAGCACTTCCGGTTTTCGAGAAATCATGAATTTCAAACGAAACCACACAAAATCTCCGAAGTTCTCAATTAATTAAATACATTTTTTTTTTGGTTCACTGGTTTGCTAGTTAGAAATAATATGGAATAAGAACTGCGCTAAAAAGTGGTTCCGCGCAACTGCGATGAAGCGGGCGGGGCAAAAAGAACTGCGATCGAAAAGACCGATCCTGGGATTGGTTAAGATTTTCGTTTAACATTATCTTGCCCAATTAACGGATAGCCGAAATCATTTGCAGATATTTAATTCGTCAAATTATTTCGTTTTTTCTGTCGCGTTAGTATTGAAGTTAAGCTATCTGAGTTTGTAGCCTTTTATAAGCGGCCTTTTGTGATAGAGTAATGCTACCATATAATTTTTAATTCGTTAACCATAAACATAGGAACTGGATTGAGCGTTACCTATCCAACTATAAAGAGAAACAAGGCAAATAATTGTGACAGAAAAGATGAATTATTACCATTTACCAAGTGCTCACCAATATATGTATATCATTTTTTAATGTCAGCACTTCAAATAACTATTCGTATTTTGTATGCGCGACTGGTTCGTGTGCTGAAGGGTGTAACGGGAGAAGAGGGATAAGTTAAATAATGGAAGACTCACCAGTTCACCAACATTCAGCTGCGAAATAAGTACCTCTGTTTGTCCAGCACTTTCTTAATACGAGTGGCCACTCGAAATACACAGTTTTTCTTCAGCAAAACACTAACACGATGTGCACAGCACGTACAGAGCCCCAAGGATTGTATTCTTATCCTTTTTGGAGTTTGACGACGAATTTAATGTTAACCGTGCGATGATAGTTCAAACACTAACGGTGAGGCGAGTACTGGAGGGGAAGCCAATTTATGGCCCAGGATCGGGTAGGTATGAAATAACTGGATGGAGATTAAAGGACTTACCCTCCTAGCACACATTAATAAATATATATATATATATATATAATTACGTTCAGAATCGCAAAAAGGGGTAGAACCGATCTTCAGGTAACATTTGGTTACACATAAAGTCTCGTCTGGCAGTATGGGCCATTGATATTTAATAATTACTCTAATTTGGCCTAAACATATTTGCTATTTGTAAACTTGACAACAGTATTTCCTTTTCATTCCCTATAAAGTATGATAAGAACAACCTGCTGTCAAAATTACAAAAAGCCAACTCGAAAGTTGAAGTGCTAACATAAGTATGACAACCCTTATTTATTTGTTTCTTAGGTTTTCACGCACATCACTCATTAAATAAAACTAGTTTTTACGGGTTAATGCACGAAACTTTATTTATTTATTGACGTTTCGTATATAAATAAAGTTTCGTGCATTAACCCGTAAAAACTAGTTTTATTTAACCCTTATTTATTTTAATGTATTTTATTTGCTATTTATTCAAACACAAATAATAGTTTGTGCTGGTAAACAATGATAAAAGTAACAAAGAATAAATTAAATTGATAAAACATTTTCAAAATAGTTCAAGATAATAATAATTGTCTATAAGCATAATTATGGAATTTTACTTATTACTTCTTAAATAAAACTAGTTTTTAACGGGTTACTGCACGAAACTTTATTTATTTATTCTAAGCTAAGGTAGCTGGACAAAATTAAATAAAAAAACATTATTCTGACGATGCAGACCTGAAAAGGCTGCGAAACGTCAATAAATGAAATAAAGTTTCGTGCATTAACCCGTTAAAAACTAGTTTTATTTAATGAGTGATGTGCGTGAAAACCTAAGAAACAAATATTATTACTTCTTGTTTTATATAAAAAAATACCTTTCTCAGTCTATTGCACAATGCTTTGACACTTTCTCTTTCTTGTAATAGTTTGTCTCTTTCCGAAAACGCCCAATCTCTTCTTCGCTTCGACACCTGAAATTTAAAAAAGCGATTAACAGAAAATCCTTATGTGATGAGATTACTTATAACAGGATACAAATGACAATGAGATTTTAATTATTTCAGACTGGATATGGGAAAGGACTGTATGATCGTAATTTTAGATTCGTTTCTTTATAAACGCGAACTGTACTATTTATTTTGTAAAAACTGCGTTGACGAACGTTCTCAATAAGAGATGAACTTACTGGATTATACACTCCCGGGCACATCTATCGGCCTACTTAGTGTTATAAGTTTTAACGGTCTGTAGCAAAAATATATGTTAGATTGAACAATAATCTATCTACATATATAAAGTTCAAAGGTGACTGACTGACATAGTGATCTATCAACGCACAGCCCAAACCACTGGACGGATCGGGCTGAAATTTAGCATGCAGGTAGATGTTATGACGTAGGCATCCGCTAAGAAAGGATTTTGATCAATTCTACCCCCAAGGGGAAAAAATATCGAAGCGAATCAAGGGCGAGCCACTAGCAATTAATATTTTTGAAAACACATAAAAAAGATGGTTAATAATAAATCAGCTTCAAAACTGCGTTAAAACTTTTTGAAATGAAATGAAAATGAATGAAATATTCTTTATTGGCCATTACAACAATAGCAGATGACAGAAATTTAAGTTAATCTATAGACGGCTAACCAGGACAATGCCTCAGCATAAGCTGATATAGTGAGAAAAGAAAAAACTTCTCTCACAATGTCGGCGCTGGTATTCTGGCAGGGCCTGTGCAAGGTCGCTTTAATGGTTTCTCTTCTCTCAATGTAACTTTATTTTGAGCTAGGTACCGTCAAACCTTAACATGCCAGGTGGGCCGATAGATTTGTCCGGAAGTATAGTTGCCTTTAGTTCAATGCGATTGTTCAGGAAAATTTACGCCTCCAGTTGGCGCCACTATGATCGACGTCTTTCTCTGAAGTTTACTGCGCGGCTTATTCGAACAAGCATTTAAAATTATCCATAGACTATGAAGACATAGATGATTTGATGAATGAGTAGGCCTTCGTGTCGGTGCTGCCACCTAGCGCACGTCATTCCAGAAAACTCTCATTATTATCAATATTAAGAGGGGCGGCGGGCAATAATATTCAATAGAAACATTCTCGACTGATTCCTCCTTGAATTTTATCACCAAAGTAATGATTTTCATAAATAAAAGCCTATGTCATCCTTTTTTCGATAACTTGTGTTTCTAAGAAACTAGATGCCATCGAAAAAGGCCACCAAAAATAAACAAATTGCTATCACCACTAAAAACGTTTAGTGTGGAGATTTAATAAGCGTTTACAAAAAAATCTAAACATAGCGGCATAGTATAACTACTTGTTCTTATTTGTGTAAAATTTATTTTATATAATTATATCTAATTTTCGAGGAGGAAATCGTCGAGAACCAAACCTCGAATTTAGCAATTTTTATACGCAATTTTCAGCGTAACAGCAATAGTTTTTTCAAATACCTATTTCTCAAATGTCTCTCAGCTCGGGTCCTATCTTGAATTACAAAACTCCTATAAATAATGAATTATGAACCTCAGCCTCTCTCTGTGCGTCGGATAATTCAGCTTGAAGTCGCTCCATCATCTTACGCAATCGCTCCAGTTCAGGGTTGTTCTGTTCCAGAGCTTCGCTGCGATCCTTATCCCCGCCTTCTGCCGCCAGACCTACTAGACCTAGATGAAAGAAAAAGCATATTTAATAAGTATTTTATAACTAGCTGTGCCTCGCGGTTTATTAGGGACATCCCGCAGTAAAACGTAGCTTATATGAGAAAGAGAGAGAATCATTTTTATTGACCACATTAAAAAAATTACAAAACAACATACAAAATAAAAATTATACATAATGGAGTAAAGAGAAAAAAAAATACATTAATAATAGTACCATTTGTGGTCAATCAGGACCCTGCCTCAGCATAATGCTGCCGCAACACGCCACAAAACGTGTCACAGCAGCGCTGGTATTCAAGCAGGGCCTGTTAATCCAGGGTGTCTGCTAACTCCATGCCAAAATTTATTTAAATCGCTCCAGCCGTTTAGACGTGAAGGAGTAACAAAGATACACATTCCCACACTCACAATCATTTGCCTTCATAATATTAGTGAGATTCCACCAGTCTCCCTAGCCAAATTATTGTTACTACATCGTACTTTTATTGTTAAGGGTCACTTATAAAATGGTTACGAAGAAAAACAAAGCTGATTTATTATCATTGTTATAATTAAAGCTTTTTTTTTAGTGAAAGCTGCTGTTTTTCGACACAAATTGAAGCGCCCATCTGAGGCAATATGACATCATTACATTTACAATTACTTATTTTATTTAAAATCCTTATTATAAATAAAAATGGAAGCCCTGTCATACCGTATTCTATGATATTCTCTAACTTTATTTTTTAACCACCTTACATATAATATTCAACTACTTCTATCAAAGTTTTAGTTACAGAGCTTGGCTGAATCTGACATCACAAATCCCCTAAAATATGCCTAAATCTGAATGGCTAGTGTCGTGGATGTTATGCACAAAATAATAAAGACCTAACTTCAGATAATTACGTCATCAAATGAAACCGCTTCCCTATAAAACTTACTGCCTCTTATTAATAAACCAGGAATAAACTTAAGACTAGTTACGCCGTGTTTTGTTCAGATAACTTCAGGGGCACAGGCCTTCCCTATAGATGGAATAGGCTAGTTGACCCTTTTTGGAAAAAGGTTTTAAATGGTTAATAAATGTTCTATTAGACCGAAAAAAAATGTATTGTATTTTTTTGAGACCTAGAAAGCTACAAATCTTTAATTTTAAAATAGAATTTTCATGGACATACAAAAACGCTGTCGGCCATTTTAGTCTATAGATTATCTATGCTATGACGTTGACGGTAGTAAAGAAAAACTCGTAAGCACGTAGAAAATAATCTATCTGAGTTTATAATAAAAAGAAAACATGATTTCTAATAGATACTACGAAAAATATAGTAATTATCATTATTGTACTGTACGAGAATGTAACACACACATCCTTGAAGACTCCAGGAAAGTTGTGGAATAAAGTGCCGAAAGAAATTAAACTATGCAATACCTGGTTAGAACTTGCTAAAAGAGATCCTGCAATGCAACTTTATCGACTCATAGTAAAATTTATTTTTGCGAAGATCACTTTGATGTAAGTACTCATTGAATAATATTTTAAGTCTCTTCATTTATTATCAGTTATAATAATACAAGTTTTAAAGTTTTGTATGAATGACATTTAGTTGTTTACTAAAAGAGACGTCACAATGATGGCGGATGTGGCGAACAGCGTTTTTAGTGTTTAAAAAGTATAGACTAAAAATGATTTTTTTAAATTAAATTTCTACAGCAATCTTCTGCTTTTATGAAGTGAAATCGATATATTTAGGTTCCTTAGACCAAACACTTTAAGAAATAAACACTTATTTGATACAATTCGACATGAGTCAACTAGCCTATAGGGAGATTGGGCCATGACCCGCCCGGATTGGTGGATGCTAACGACTGCAGATGCAGCCGGGACCAACGGCTTAAAGTGCCTTCCGAAGCACGGAGGAGTTCGAGATAGTAAGTTTTGGTCACCCATCCAATGACCGACCACAGCGAAAGTTGCTAAATTTCAACGATCGCAGCCGAACGCGCTAACTACTTGCGCCATCGAGCTCCTCATCATCATCACTCAAATACCATCTGTCATTCAATGAACACAGACAAAACATGGAGTAACTTATCCAAGCTTAAACTTCGTTTACTAATAAGGGAGATTGTATATAGAGCTATATTCTAATTATGTAATAGAAAGTGACTTCAAAAATAACTCAGAAGTCATTTTTCAACTTGACGACTTCGTATAGAATTATACATTTAGAAAAAAGCAACCCTTGCTGAGTTTCTTACCGGTTCTTCTCAGTACAAGGTATCCCGCCGTAGTTTTGCGAACCGATAGTAGTAACGTTGCTTCTCGACTTTCACAATAGGGTATTTGACAAGTTTTGGTAAACGATGTCACGTTACTTACTAATGTTTATGGAGTCCATAAAAAGTGGATATTCATCATTCTCTTGTGTATTTCAGTAAAAATAACTAAATCAAATACTCAAATTTCAAGTTGCCGCGAAAACGTTTCTCTGGGCAATATGGCGTCTCACTGGTGTGTGACGTTACACGACTGTCATTAAAACGTCAAACGATACAATGTAATGTCACTTTGACCGGAAGTTTACTAGTGTGTGACGTCATTTTAAACTCCGCCAATCTCGGGCGTTTTCAATCACGTGACAATAGATATGAAAACTATTATCTTTTTCGAGTGTTTTTAGTAAAATTATGAATATTTTTTCTGTAATAATTGTAAAACCCACTGCCAATATACATTCTAAATACAGATGCTAACAATTAGCACTTTATTTTAAAAACTGTCAAATACCCTATTTTACGTGTAACAGCCTAGACTGACTAAATGATTTTTGATTTTCATTTTGATCGATCGACCCATAGATATAAGAGTTACCTTGCAACTTGTCCAAGGAAGGGTCGTTGGAGTGTTGCCCGTTGAGGAATCCGTCGTTACCCACACCACTTGCTAGGCCCAAATGGTGATACGCGGAATTGTCTTGTCTGTAGAACGAAATATTTTTGTAGTGTCAATAAAAAACACTGTGTTGACGCGATTGACAGTTAAAATCTAGTAAAGCATAGTAAATTGTGTAACTTTTTTATTCATTAATTTGGTGACTCATTTCTTTGTCGTAAGTGGAATCCGCGCACGTGTTCCCTCCTTCCTACAATCTGGGGTCCTTTAAAAGAGGCGGGAAGAAGCAGTTTTGCAGGCCGGCAAGGATGGTTGGTGTGGCAGTTTATAACTGCTGTACCAGCTATCTTCGCGTTTGTACTTTATCACCATTTAACGTCAGGTGGGGTAGTCATTTGCCTACATGGCTACATAAAAAATAATCAAAAACCTATTATTGTTGATGTCATCAAAATAGTAACAGATTCTTGCACGGTTATCAAATCATCCGCATATTAATTATTTTATTTCCTATCCGTAGACTTACAGAATGCACTGAATGTTCTCTGTCTAACAGTAAAGTGAAACTGGGTAGATAAGTGCGAGAATGAAGAAGCAAACGTACGGCTGATAGTTCGTATAACTTGTGCCTTTTTTTTTAATTTATTAAAATTCCTTTCTTTAATTATAAATTAAAGAAAGGAATTTCTTTATTTATAATTAAAGTTACTTTATTTATTTATTGACGTTTCGCAGCCTTTACAGGCTGCTTCGTCGGAATCAATTTTTTATTTAATTTTGTCGAGCTACCTTCGAAAGACTTTTATTGAGCGTTCGTTTATTTTATTTAATTATAAATTAAAGAAAGGAATCGAAAATGACAATGAAAGGCATTCTCTCTCTCGCACATTACATAGGATAGCATGTGCGATAGGGACAGAATGTTTAATGTCGTCATTTGCGATTCCTCTTTGGTGACACGAGTTTTATCCCCTGGGGGCCATTCGCCTAACGGAAATGCTTAGGAAAACGCTAACGCTTACGATTTCATTTTGTTATTTCTAGCCGCCTGAGGTTTGCTTTTGCATTGGTAATAACAATATTAAAAAAAATAGCGTGAGGTATTTGAAAACCTTTGGCGGTCAGAAATAGCAAAATAAAATCGAAAGCGTTAGCATATTCCTAAGAATTTTCGTTAGGCGAATGGCCCCCAGGTCTGTGTAAATGGCAGATTTCTGCAAACTCCAAAAAGCCCTGTCTGTGGAGATGGCAGATTTCTGCCACAAGTTGATAAAATTATTTTCATTTTTATGTTTTGAGATTTGTTTTGCGTTTTATCAGATGTAGTAATGAATTTTAATTTACACATATAATATATAGATAAGTTTGTGGAGAAACTATTAAGGATTGATTTAAGTCACAAATGAAGGATGTATTTACAACTCGAATCATAAGTGGAAAATCGGCCAGCAAATCAATTAATATTCCGGCCGTGAAATACAAATTAGGGGGCTTACACAGAAGGGGGTTTGACGGCTATTTTTCTTACACAGTTGACGGATTATACAGTTAAATTTCAAGAGAGTATAGCTATTTCCACTCTCATGTGTTTCATCATCACATTTGTAAAAAAAACCTATATTTTTTATTTATTTATTTTATTGCAGTCATGTGGTTATTACAGATGTTACATAAAAATATTAGATACAGACACATGAACCCTGATAGGGTATCGCAAATTATTATAAAATGTCCTCAATTAAAAAAATTAAATAACTTCAATTAAAGAAAAATTAACTTGAACATAATTAGTAGATAATAAATTAATAACACTGACAAATACTTTATGTTCGGGAACTTTATTGTAGTCTTTCACGGCCATAGCAAAAGGTCCTGTGTGTACTAAATGCAACTTGGAATTTGGAGGGGCTAATCTTTGATGCGATCTTAATCTACTTGGACGTTCTTGTTGGGGAAAAAGATGAGTGTGCTTTTTAACAAACATACATAATTCCAAAATGTATATACTAGTAAGGACCAGTGTTTTGAACCTAATGCCCCTGTAATAAGAGGCCATTGTCCCCTTACCTGGACTTGGCTAGTGCGTTGTTCTGCGGCGTCTTCAGATCGCTGCATTCTTTTATGGCTCGGTCGCGATCTACCAGTGCTGATTCTATCTCCCTCCGTAAACTCTCCGCCTGTGATTACAATAATAAACAAAGTTATGAGTTGCATAAAAATCTATATAAGTGACGGACTGACTGACATAGTGATCTATCAACGCACAGTCCAAACCACTGGACGGATCGGGCTGAAATTTGGCATGCAGGTAGATGTTATGACGTAGGCATCCGCTAAGAATGGATTTTGATCAATTCTACCCCCAACGGCATAAGATAGGGAATGCAAGTTTGTATGAAACTTTGTCAATTTTAAACCGATCGGGCTGAGACTTTGCATGCAGGTATAAGAAGAATCATAGATGAATGTCATTGTGTATAATACAAGCCTGAGAACAAAAACTGCAGTCTACACCTTAGCTCTACACCGAAGAAGCGAGGGTGGGCCATTAGTCTACAATAATTTATTAATGGTTTTGAACCTGGCCGTCAGTGTCATGATAATCATAATCAAAATAATTTATTCAGTTTAGGCTGTTACAAGCACTCATGAATGTATAGAAGCTACGCCATCGGTTCGTAGATCCACGGCGGGAGAGCTTGTACTGGGAAGAACCGACAAGAAACTCAGCAAGGGCTGTTTTTTTCTCCCTGTTTTATTCTTTACAGAGTCGTAAAGTTCAAAAATGACTTCAGAGATGATACATGAGGTGAAATTACATAATTTGAAATAAACATTATTTTGATTGCTGTGTCATATCGTATAAATACAAATAGTGTTATTTATATTGTGTAACTAGACATTAACATCTTCAATATCAAAGTAGTCAGGGCAGACTCATCTCCGCTGGCAGCACCTATTCAGGCGCACGGACACTTTGCTGCAGTGTCTCGCAAGAAACGGACGTGCTCTCTACTGATTTTATTTCATTGTTGCATAAAAAAGTTTTATAAATTATACTGAAAGGCTATTTTCGTTACTCTTTTTCGAAAAATAATTAGGCTTTTGGTTTTGGGTAATATGCGCCGTATTCCCCGCGGCGAAAAGAAAGAGGTAGATCTACACATAGTCACGACAGCATATGCCGTATTCCTTGCACCATAAGAGTCACACCTGCACGTCAGAGGCACGTTGTTCCTCCCTAGAAGCTTGCAACGTGCTTTAAAGTGCGGCCATTCGTATTAATGTCACAGCAATTTGTGCTTTAAACCGTTGGACGAAAAGAACGAGTTATATCTGCACATTGGCACAGTAATATATGCCATATTCCGTGCGACGAAAAGAACGACTTAGATCTACACATAGTCAAGGCAATATGTGCCGTATTCGTTGCTGCATAAGAGTCATACCTGCACGGTAGAGGCACGTTGTTCCTCCCTGGAAGCTTGCAGCGCGGCTTCAAGTGCGATCATTCATTTCATTGTCACATTAATTTGTGCCTTAATCCGTTGGATGAAAAGAACGAGTTATATCTGCTTATTTTCGCAGTAATATGCACCGTATTCCCCGCGGTGTAAAGAAAGAGTTAGATCTACACATAGTCACGACAGCATATGCCGTATTCCTGGCACCATAAGAGTCACACCTGCACGGCAGAGGCACGTTGTTCCTCCCTAGAAGCTTGCAACGTGCTTTAAAGTGCGGCCATTCGTATCAATGTCACATTAATTTGTGCTTTAAACCGTTGGACGAAAAGAACGAGTTATATCTGCACATTGGCACAGTAATATATGCCATATTCCGTGCGACGAAAAGAACGACTTAGATCTACACATTGTCACGGCAATATGTGCCGTATTCGTTACGTCATAAGTTTCATACCTGCACGGCAGAGCCATGTTGTTCCTCCCTAGAAGCTTGCAACGTGCTTTAAAGTGCGGCCATTCGTATCAATGTCACATCGACGAAAAGAAAGAGTTATATCTGCATATTGGCACAGTAATATATGCCATATTCCGTGCGACGAAAAGAATGATTTAGTTCTACACATAGTCACGGCAATATGTGCCGTATTCGTTGCTTAATAAGAGTCATACCTGCACGGCAGAGGCACGTTGTTCCTCCCTGGAAGCTTGCAGCGCGGCTTCAAGTGCGGCCACCCGTTTCAAAGCCGCTTGCAGGTCGTCTGATAGCTTTTCCATCTCTTTGTGCACTGTATCCCTGAAATAAGACTTTATATTAGAGATCCTATGTAGAGAATGAAAAGCGACACTTCTTTTTATATAACGATCAGAATTTACTGAAAATTATTAAGGAAGATTCCGTTTTTTTTGAGAGATTTATCTTTCACTTGTTCAGTTTATGTTTGTATGAAGTATGAAAGCTGGAATAAGAACAACGAACGTTGCGCCCCCCCCGGCACGCGGCACCTCTCGCTCATGATGAGCGTGTACTCGGTGAGCGCAGCGTTGCGCTCGTCGGTGAGCCGCTTGATGTCGTTGCGGTCCCCCCCCCCCCCCGTATATATGTCAACAACAGTGGCGGCACCTCTCGCTCATGATGGGCGGGTACCCGGGGAGCCGCTTGATGTCGTTGCGGTCCCCCCCCCCCCCCGTATATATGTCAACAACAGTGGCGGCACCTCTCGCTCATGATGAGCGTGTACTCGGTGAGCGCAGCGTTGCGCTCGTCGGTGAGCCGCTTGATGTCGTTGCGGTCCCCCCCCCCCCCCCCGTATATATGTCAACAACAGTGGCGGCACCTCTCGCTCATGATGAGCGTGTACTCGGTGAGCGCAGCGTTGCGCTCGTCGGTGAGCCGCTTGATGTCGTTGCGGTCCCCCCCCCCCCCGTATATATGTCAACAACAGTGGCGGCACCTCTCGCTCATGATGAGCGTGTACTCGGTGAGCCGCTTGATGTCGTTGGCGGTCCCCCCCCCCCCCCCCGTATATATGTCAACAACAGTGGCGGCACCTCTCGCTCATGATGAGCGTGTACTCGGTGAGCGCAGCGTTGCGCTCGTCGGTGAGCCGCTTGATGTCGTTGCGGTCCCCCCCCCCCCCCCGTATATATGTCAACAACAGTGGCGGCACCTCTCGCTCATGATGAGCGTGTACTCGGTGAGCGCAGCGTTGCGCTCGTCGGTGAGCCGCTTGATGTCGTTGCGGTCCCCCCCCCCCCGTATATATGTCAACAACAGTGGCGGCACCTCTCGCTCATGATGAGCGTGTACTCGGTGAGCGCAGCGTTGCGCTCGTCGGTGAGCCGCTTGATGTCGTTGCGGTCCCCCCCCCCCCCCCCCCGTATATATGTCAACAACAGTGGCGGCACCTCTCGCTCATGATGAGCGTGTACTCGGTGAGCGCAGCGTTGCGCTCGTCGGTGAGCCGCTTGATGTCGTTGCGGTCCCCCCCCCCCCCCCCCCCGTATATATGTCAACAACAGTGGCGGCACCTCTCGCTCATGATGAGCGTGTACTCGGTGAGCGCAGCGTTGCGCTCGTCGGTGAGCCGCTTGATGTCGTTGCGGTCCCCCCCCCCCCCCCGTATATATGTCAACAACAGTGGCGGCACCTCTCGCTCATGATGAGCGTGTACTCGGTGAGCGCAGCGTTGCGCTCGTCGGTGAGCCGCTTGATGTCGTTGCGGTCCCCCCCCCCCGTATATATGTCAACAACAGTGGCGGCACCTCTCGCTCATGATGAGCGTGTACTCGGTGAGCGCAGCGTTGCGCTCGTCGGTGAGCCGCTTGATGTCGTTGCGGTCCCCCCCCCCCCCCCCCCCCCCGTATATATGTCAACAACAGTGGCGGCACCTCTCGCTCATGATGAGCGTGTACTCGGTGAGCCGCTTGATGTCGTTGCGGTCCCCCCCCCCCCCCCCCCCGTATATATGTCAACAACAGTGGCGGCACCTCTCGCTCATGATGAGCGTGTACTCGGTGAGCGCAGCGTTGCGCTCGTCGGTGAGCCGCTTGATGTCGTTGCGGTCCCCCCCCCCCCCCCGTATATATGTCAACAACAGTGGCGGCACCTCTCGCTCATGATGAGCGTGTACTCGGTGAGCCGCTTGATGTCGTTGCGGTCCCCCCCCCCCCCCCCCGTATATATGTCAACAACAGTGGCGGCACCTCTCGCTCATGATGAGCGTGTACTCGGTGAGCGCAGCGTTGCGCTCGTCGGTGAGCCGCTTGATGTCGTTGCGGTCCCCCCCCCCCCCCCGTATATATATGTCAACAACAGTGGCGGCACCTCTCGCTCATGATGAGCGTGTACTCGGTGAGCGCAGCGTTGCGCTCGTCGGTGAGCCGCTTGATGTCGTTGCGGTCCCCCCCCCCCCCGTATATATGTCAACAACAGTGGCGGCACCTCTCGCTCATGATGAGCGTGTACTCGGTGAGCGCAGCGTTGCGCTCGTCGGTGAGCCGCTTGATGTCGTTGCGGTCCCCCCCCCCCCCCCGTATATATGTCAACAACAGTGGCGGCACCTCTCGCTCATGATGAGCGTGTACTCGGTGAGCGCAGCGTTGCGCTCGTCGGTATGTCAACAACAGTGGCGGCACCTCTCGCTCATGATGAGCGTGTACTCGGTGAGCCGCTTGATGTCGTTGCGGTCCCCCCCCCCCCCCCCCCGTATATATGTCAACAACAGTGGCGGCACCTCTCGCTCATGATGAGCGTGTACTCGGTGAGCGCAGCGTTGCGCTCGTCGGTGAGCCGCTTGATGTCGTTGCGGTCCCCCCCCCCCCCCCCGTATATATATGTCAACAACAGTGGCGGCACCTCTCGCTCATCATGAGCGTGTACTCGGTGAGCGCAGCGTTGCGCTCGTCGGTGAGCCGCTTGATGTCGTTGCGGTCCCCCCCCCCCCCCCCCCGTATATATGTCAACAACAGTGGCGGCACCTCTCGCTCATGATGAGCGTGTACTCGGTGAGCGCAGCGTTGCGCTCGTCGGTGAGCCGCTTGATGTCGTTGCGGTCCCCCCCCCCCCCCCGTATATATGTCAACAACAGTGGCGGCACCTCTCGCTCATGATGAGCGTGTACTCGGTGAGCGCAGCGTTGCGCTCGTCGGTGAGCCGCTTGATGTCGTTGCGGTCCCCCCCCCCCCCCCCGTATATATGTCAACAACAGTGGCGGCACCTCTCGCTCATGATGAGCGTGTACTCGGTGAGCGCAGCGTTGCGCTCGTCGGTGAGCCGCTTGATGTCGTTGCGGTCCCCCCCCCCCCCCCCCGTATATATATGTCAACAACAGTGGCGGCACCTCTCGCTCATGATGAGCGTGTACTCGGTGAGCGCAGCGTTGCGCTCGTCGGTGAGCCGCTTGATGTCGTTGCGGTCCCCCCCCCCCCCCCCGTATATATGTCAACAACAGTGGCGGCACCTCTCGCTCATGATGAGCGTGTACTCGGTGAGCGCAGCGTTGCGCTCGTCGGTGAGCCGCTTGATGTCGTTGCGGTCGCGGACACCCCCCTCCCATTGCCGCACCACGCTGGCCACCTGCTGCTTCAGCGCGTTACGCTCGCGGATCTGTTATCAGAACAACAAAAAAACATTCAATGAACGAGTATCAAGGGGAAAATATCCGAAACGACAAGAATAATGTTAAATGTTAAATAAATCATGGGTATGTGCACAACACAACGATATTAAATACCCTAGATACACCACGAGCGCTCAAAATGTGTCCAAACAGAAAGTGCTTGAACTCCACTCAAGCACTTCTTGGTTCACAGTCACGCGCGGACCGTTACAAAGTCAAGATGCCACAGAGCTCCGCGAAAAAGCGAAAATAATACTTAGAGTACGAAAAGTGTCGTTTTTTCGACAGGTATCTAGTCAATGTTTGTTAATTTAACACATTTAAAGTAGTTTCATCTAATACTTACTATAAACTGATTTAATATAAAATATTTGTGATATTCAAATGCATGGTCAGTTATACGTCGCCATATAGCGATCTCTTTTCCTCACGGTCCGTGCCTGCTATATTGCTAACAGCGCGTTCAGAATTGCGCGTAGAGTCAAAGAACTAAGGTCTAATTCTTCCGCATATAGCAATAAGTCGTAAAATTTTAAGAGCTTGCATTTCGAACTGTCAGAAGTCCTTGACGCATGCGTTTTATTAAGACCTTATACAGTGTATATTTTCAATATTTAAATAATGCCTTATATTGATTTTGACTATGCGATCATCTCACGGAGCTCCGTGGATCGTTCAATGTACCTTTGGGACAGGTTTCGGGCACGATTTTGTTCGTGTTGGTGTATCTAGGGTATTTAATATAGTTGGCACAATATTTCAATTTTCACAAAATTCAAAACGGCTCTATTATTCAGTTATGACTTTATTAAATAATAAAGTAATATCTAATAATTTAGATGTCTTCACTTGTTGATATGAATCCGCATCCATAAAATCTTCTCAAATGGGAATGAAGGTGTCTAAATTAATATAGACCCCTATAGAAACAAGTAAAACTACTTGAAACAACAAACTGAAAGATAACTCCCTAATGGAAATAAAAGAACTTACCACAGCATTCCTCTCCTGTGTCAGCTCGTGGCACTGAGTCTTCAGCCTGCTGTTCTCTTCTTGGACAATCTGCAGCTTCTCCAGCGTCGCATTGTGGGTCTCTATCAGGTCTTCGTACCTAAAACGAAAACTATTCCATCATTTTCATATTCCTTTCCGGTTAGATACAAGTTTAAGAGGAGATTTAAATCCATAGATACTCATTATCAACACCAGTTTATTAGAGCCTGACCGCATTGCGATATTTCACCGTGCGTTTTTACTCAATTTACTCTCGCAATAGGGTATTTGACAAATTTTTGAAAACGATGTCACGTTATTAGCTAATTTTAATGGAGTCCATAAAAAGATATTTTTAATTCTGTTTTGTAATTCAGTAAAAACTAAATAAAAATTCAACATTCAGGTTACCGCGAAATCTTTTCTCTGGACATTATGGCGTCTTAATAGTGTGTGACATTACACGACTGTCATTAAAAGTCAAATGATACAATGTAACGTCACTTTGGCCCGAAGTTTACTAGTTTGTGAAGTCATTTTAGTCTGCCAATCCCAGACGTTTACGGTCACGTGACCATGGAGCAAAAACTCGTATCTATTTAATGATTTCATTGAAAAGTTATTAATTATTTGTTCTTGCAGAATAGTAAAGTCGCTGTTAATGTTCATATTAAATACAGATGCCAACAATTGGTACATTATTTTTCATACTAAGAAATAGCCTATTCTGTTACATACAGTGCTGGGTTAGGTCTACTTCTCAGACCTTTGACGCCCTGAGCAATCCACGCCTGTGGAAGGCCCCCACGGCAAGGCTACTACCCACACCTACTGAGGATTCCCAACACATTCGTCAGATGACAAAAAAGGAATTTCTCTTTAGACAAAAGAAACTAAGATAAATTTTTGCTCTTGTCTGTTCGTCTAGTCACTAGTCGCTTGAAATCAGATCTGTCATTGGCAAATATCTCTCGGCACTCGACCACTTAGACGCAGTTCCATAGGCTACACATCACTAGGAACATTTTCATGCCGAAGCTACAGGAACCAAAGTTACAGCGTCCTCCCATCTGAGGGATAGGAGGAACATCGCCGACGGCAATTTTATATCCAGCTTGAGTTACAGATGGAACTATCATATCTTGTGATTCGCTCATGTTTGAAAGATCTTTCGTTTCAGCAGATATTAATTGAGATTGAAAATTGAGGATTTACTTGGACAAGTCGTCAGTCTTTTGAATAGAAGCTACTAGAAGGGTTCACGTAACGTTTCTGAGGACGAAAAATATTGAGATGCCGGTTGGTATAGTCCCCACCAAAAATATTCGAGTGCAAGAGACATTAAGAAGGGATGTTACGTGTAAAAATAAAAATAATTAAAATCACTGTTATTTTTGATTATGTGAAAGAAGAAAAAATACGTAATTTAAGACAATCTAAATGATGTATGATGAAAAATATATAAATAGTCATCATCCCTATTAAAAACAAGCCAAGTATGATTATCAAATGCTAACTTTCCCTTGTTATTTAATATTTTAGAGCTATGATTCTATGGATTTAAATCTCCCGCTTTAGATTTTAGTGCTTGTTCCAACCTCTTCTGGAAGCATTCAAATTCTTCTTTGAGTGCCTCATGCTTTCGGAGTGTGTGAACTAATGCGTCCGAACTGCCTTCTGGGTTGCTGCTTTGCTGTAAATGCTGCACTTCGCGCTCTAGGCTATAAACCAATATAAAAAAATGAAATCAAAAATAACACAAGCCTGTATTATGCGATTCAAATAAGAATAGGAAAGCCAATGACCTCTATCTGTCAAATGTCGATTGAAAAGTACGGTTTGCAAAAAGAACTTGGAACCCTTATTTTGCACTCCGCTAATTCAAGAATAAAAACCAAACATTTGTGAACAAACAATAACAAATATTGATAATTAATATCGGCTGATATTTTTTTTCACTTATTGAGCTTTGGCCTTGAATGGTTGATAACCTAAATCGTCAACCAAATGTCACTTTAAGATGTGTTCAGAAACTCGATTTCAAACTTTCGTTTACATAAAGGATGCATGTTCGTAATGTTCGTATGTGACCTAGTAATAGTGCATGATTATTCATAACTACTCCGGCAGTATTGCAGAGATGAGCGGAATAGAAGAGCTAGATTCTGATTAATGTTTTTTTTCCCAGTCTTAATAAATAAATATTATTAAAAATCGGTGGTTTTTTCTCAATCTTAGTAAATAAATGTTATTAAAAAAATCTGATGCTTTTTCTCACTTAATCTAAGAAAATAAATTTTATTAAATACTAGCTTTTGCCCGCGACTTCGTCCGCATTTTCGTCGATTTTCGTAAAAAAGTAGCATATGTCCTTCCTCAGTGTTCCGTGATTTTGATGTGACAGACAGATTAACTTTCGTATTTTAGTAGGGAAATATAATATGTCAATCCACAATACTGTTAAAAATATCGCAATAAGGAACCGCAGAATATTATTATTATCACTGTGCCCCGAGACCATCAGCGTGTAACTCCTTGTATGTTATTATGTTAATGTATTGGTAATATTGTTTAGATCGCTTTCATATGAGGCTTAAGTACATATAGAATGAAAATACATCAGCGCAAAGCTTCCGGGTAAACTACGTTGAAAGTTGACCCGTCCGGCACGTGAACATAAAAATTTCTAGGACTGCTAACCCGGGAAAGAGCGACATAACTGACCATGTGAAAAACAACTGACACCGAGATCTACTCCAGCAACACGAATGCCCTTGAGCCTTATTTACTGTCATTGCATAACACACCGATACTGGGAATTGCGTTCTTTTAAATTGGAATGGAAAATTATTTGTTATTATGGGAATTCTGGGAATAAAGATGGTTTCTCATGCACCGCAACCTGTTAAAATTTGAGCCTCGATTACATTTTGTTGCAACTGGGTTCCATTGCAAATTTGTGGTGGTCTTAAATTTCGGAGCAGAATAATCGGAATGCCAATTTTTAAACAAATTTCATGAGAAGGAAGTCCGGGCGCATATTTAAAGAATTTAAAAATTCTATCGGGTAATTAGTGGTTTCTTGTTCATCGGCCATTCTATTTATTGAACTATAAACTTTGCTTTCCCCCTGGATATTCGACAGTATTTTATTATTAATCTCAGATGCCTGGTCATTACGAGGAGTTAAAATGGACCTTTCGCATAGCCAAGAATTGTCCTTATTTAATATATTTATTACGTCACCGTAAACTGACGATGTAAGATGTTGTTGGGATTGCACTATACAACATAACTCAGGCGTCCGGATAAGTTTTCCTTGGTGTAGCAGTGGATAGGTATCTTTGGTGAAGGTATTTTCTTTAATAATATATCAGAAAATTCACGATCATCCGGGTTATCTACAGTTCTCACTCGCATGTTTATAGTCAAATGCACCGATTGTATATCACACCACAAATAAGAGCTTTTCAGGCAAGCCCTAACCTCATCAGCTCGGGTTCCCCGTGGTATTACCGGTAAGGTTTGTCGGAAATCACCACAAAATAAAACTGTGATACCGCCCATTGGTCGATCATTTTGTCTTATATCCCTTAAAGTTCTATCTACCGCTTCTACTCCTTTTCGATGGGCCATCGTACATTCATCCTATATGATTAAATTACACTTTGAACGAATATTTAAACACTACCAAAACAACTAATACGTGGTCCTAACTTTAGCTACCTTACACTTAAAATCTAAGTGACTATTTAAACTAAAATATTCTTATAGAATTATAACCAGAAATATATACAACTCACAACAAAAAAGAAATGAAAATAAAGCTGAAACGCCTGTGCAATACTATCTACCTATACCTACTTCACTTAAAAATAAATACTTATAACTACTTTAATTAATAAAAGTACCTACGCTTAATAATTTATAATTTGAACGAATATTTAAACACCAACCCATCACCACCATTACCAAAACAACTAATACCTATTTTACAAAATAACAACAAAAGAAAGTCAAATGAAAGAAATGAGAAAAGACTAAAAGTCGCGCTGATAAGCACGGTTTCTCAATATTTCTCAATTATCGTCTGTCAATAAGGTCGAAAGCTCTGAACGCATCAACAGCCAAATATTGAAGCTCGCTCGCTCTCTTTTTTTTCATTTTTTTTGTTTCCTCCCAGGCGGGAGAGCAGGTGAGAAATCCTCATGGATACCCCACAGCCGGCTGCAAGGTTATATCAGACTCGTACTGACTAAAAAACACCCGTAGGGGCTGCCTCTGGCCGGGAAGGCCTCTAAGGCTTCATCGGAAGCGATCGCCCCCAGGGGGGGGGGAGCGAATTGATACCCTACCGCCGCCGCGACCCGTGTCGTGCGCGGCAACCGTTACGATGCGCGGCGCGATGGCTTATTTCATGTATAAGTTTGGTGTTTCTATACCGATTTCTATGTTTTGTTTTTATTGAATAGGTAATAATGTTAACTTTTTTAAATTAGGGATGAGTCAGAGTATTATAAACGTAAGAGTAAACAAATATGATCAGAATGCTCCGAACTGCTAAGCTATCGGGAGTTACACGTGTTACTGTGAGTCAACCATAAAAGATATACATATGCTGTTGCGGAATATTTTTGAGACAATTTATGTAGAATATTTCCGTCATACATGATTTCTATGTAACTGTAATCATTAACCCTGCACACGCGACGGAAGTTTAAAAAATGGAGTAACTTCTCCCGTTTTCCCAACATTTCCCTTCACTACTCTGCTCCTATTGATTATAGCGTGATGAAAAGTGTACTATAACCTGCCCAGGAGTATGAAGAATAATTGTACCAAGTTTCGTTAAAATCCGTCGAATAGTTTTTGTTTCTATAAGGAACATACACACAGACAGACAGACAGACAGACAGACAAAAAATTTACTGATTGCATTTTTGGCATCAGTATCGATCACTAATCACCCCCTGATAGTTATTTTAAAAATATATTTCATGTACAGAATTGACATCTCTACAGATTTATTATAAGTATAGATAAACGTTTTTTTGCTCACTCTATCTATTTGGTTTGAATTGACAGCTATGACATCACAATATGGCGCCCAGTCGGTCCTTTTCTTAGTTAAATCGCATTATAGAATCCAGAAATATTCATATTACAAGGTAGTCTTCATCAGAAGTGTTCAAAACCAAAAAAATGGTTGCCTGTAAAGTCGGTTTTACGGGCGAAGATTTTACGTGACAACGTCTTTTTCTCGGTAGAATATTTATTGATATGAATATAATTAAATTGCACAATAGGAACAAGGAATTGAATGAAAATAAGAATTGCACAAATTTTAACTATAGAAATATATTTTGTTTACTAAAACATTGTACATGTAAACTTAAACTTAACACGAGAGACTCATCGTAACGTTACCGAGCGTTACACTTTTTCATAAGTGACTCCCAGCCGCAACCTAATTTAAGACGTTGTCACGTCAAAATGGTTGTATGCAGAGGAAGCCATTTCAGGAAGTGGTCTCCAAAAGTCAAACCCTTTGTTATTACTGGTAGAAATTATACCTCAGTAGTAAGTCAATTTATTTTTCCGTAATACTCGTTAAGTTTGATGATGAACAAACATAAAAAAGTCCTTGGGAAGCACATACCGTTGGTTGTCGTCCAGCAGGTCGCCGTACTTGCCGCGCAGGCTGCTGGCCTCCTGTGCTGACACCTCCAGCTGGTTCATGGCGGCCCGGTGTTGTCCACGGAAGTATTCCAACTCCTGGACACCACGGGAGTTTCAAAATATAACCATTATTAAGAAAAAGAGGAGGCAACAAAAAGCTATACAAAAGAGGAAGCATCGCTGGTGGATAAAAGAATTATACCGCAATAAAACTATACATGGATGTGAACACTTGCTATTGGACATGACGTTGGAAGGTGGCGATAGCTTTCGAAATTTTAGCGATCGTCTCCATTAAACACACGGCTCGGACTGAGGCGCCTTTGAGCACGGCACAGAAACCGACAAAATATGGCTCGGCTCACGGCGACGAATTTGCCTCGCGTTGCGGCGTGCCTCAGGTTGAGGCAGCGTCTCCACTTGCGCAGCCTCGGGGTGAGGCAGCCGCTCGACCCGAGGCTGCCTCTTGTGGATACGCGGCTTAATATCAAAAAACTTTAAATGTTTAAAAGTCTATCTGTGAGAGTTTTAATTCTTAATGAACTGATTTTGGAACTGCTGTTTTAATGTAATCATTTCGAGATGCAAAATAGCAAAATATTTAAAGTCACATTTTGGACTCACAAATGTGACCAACAGTGATAAGGGCTAAAAAAATCATGAAATAAATGTGACGTACTTTATGGATGACCCCATAGCCGATTTCCAGTTATAATTGGGGCGCCCATGTGGATAAGTAACCTTCGCCTTACGGAAGATACATAGTGAAATAGCTACCATTCCAAACAATTCACAATGCTCTCGATCTACCAAGATCTTAATTTGAAATATACACGCAGAATTTGATAACTCAAAATTATTTATTTATTAGATCACCAACATAATAAACATTAACACAACAATCAGGTAATGATAAAGTGCTTAAGCTTAATGTTATTATAATTATAGGTGAAGGCCATATGCGTAATAGAATAGAAGCAACAAATGCTGGTAAACTGTCATTGAAAAATCTTTCTAAGATTAAATATATATATATATATATATATATATATATATATATATATTTTAAGTATTAAAATTTTTCTTTCCCCGGGCAGCTTCTCACAGGGGTGCGCCCCTGCGGGGTTGGGTGCCGCTATTTCAGCGACCGTCTAGCGATGATTTTGGGTATCTGCTCTCGCCTGGTACCTTGCAACGCGGCCCTCTCGGCGCTGTCTGCCAAGCCGGGTGAGACCCCTTGAGGGGAGGCCCAGCTAGCGCCAGCGAGCAGGCCGCGGCTAGTGGGGAGCAGAGTTTATTGTTGGGATTGGGGTGGTGGAGGAAGCCGGATTAGGGTGTGGTCGGAGATTGGAGACGGCAAGAGCAATCGTTTTATACCCACACAAGCGCAACTAGCGACTCTCACGGTAGCAAAGTTTGCATCGTATTTTTGTGTCATTTTTTTATTGCACTAGGTTTTATTTGATAATAAAAAGTAATGTTTTTTTATTAAGTCAATTAAGTAACCTTTTAAATAAAATCATTGTTAATGTGACTACATGTGCATATTAAGAGTTAATGACATTTGAAAGTGATTTTCTAAGAGGTGCAATTTTTTTGACGCCGAGTGTACGTACCACTCTCCTTTATTACTTGCCTGAAGTTGATAGACGGATTAGGCGCTTTGCAGACGACGAGGCGGGGCGGGCTTTTTGTCCGCGAAGCAATAAAAACCGCGTCTGCCCGTCGATGTCTGCGGCTGCCCTCGCCGCGTACACAAAGCACACGACGCACAGTGGGTGAAAAAAAGAGGTCCCCTTTCATAGGATTTTTGAAAAAATAAAAATGTATATTATCCGTTTAAGGTATGCGGTTTTATTGGACATATCAGTACATTGAATAATAAAATAGTTTGGGGAATTTCCTTTTAATCTAACACCATAAAGCACGGGCTTTAGAGTTTCAAATGTATGAAAACGGAATTTGTTTTGCTCATAACTTGTCTCGGTCTTCTACGGTCAAGCTGAATCTAATAGGGATTATTACCGGGTCTGTTACGAAGCCATGTGACCTTTGACCTTCACCCCGGACGGCCCCGTTCAAAAGATACGAATTTTTCAAAATGCTTATTAGGGTAATTTTGCTTTACGGGGTTATGTGTCTCAATAAACAGTTTGTTTATGTTTCTTGCCCAGCATTTAGTTATTAATACAGCGCAGATTATAAACTATACATATATATATAGATAACGACACCATACAACTTAACTTTAAATAAAAGCGTCCTTATTCAAAAGATATGGAATTAATATAAATAGATAAAAGAAATAGTTTTAAGAAAAAGAAAACAAGAATACAATATTGTAAAGAATTACAATGAAGTCCTTTACAGCCTACAATTTAATCTTTTGTTTGACAATCGCTTAAAAGCCGCGCGCCATTAACGAGAGCATCATTACATATAAACAATACAAACTCTATTGTTGCAGGTTTTGAGGAATTCAAAGGGTTACCCACAGTCATTACCTGCCGTTGTTTGCCTATAATAATTACTGATTATTTGCTTTTATTGTGGGTAGGTGAATAAATAATACGTTGTTATTATTATTATTCAACAATGACTTCGATTATAATAAATACGGAGTACACCTGTATTTCATTTCACTTATCATTATTGATTCGTACCGTAACGTTCTCTTTGCTCAAATTTTAAGTTGCTCAGAATGGAAGGGCTTGTGTCTAATCTCGACGTATATATATATATGAGGCAAAAATCTTTTAGTGCCGACATGTTATTTCAAAAAGTACTCGATTCAGTGACATTTTCATTATCTGAAGAACAAAAGACAACTCTTAAAACGTTTTGTGCTACATATACGAGTAATCTTAAACGCAAATGGAAGTCAGCTAATTACACACAAGGGAATTTTATAAAGAAGTTTGCTGACTGGTTGGACCAAGAAATAAAATGGCCAGAGTTTGTTTCACAAGACATAACTGAAGAACAATCAAATATTATGACGAGTTTTGAAGATCCTTCAACAAGTATTTCAACAGTAACAAGACCTAGTTTATCAACGGAATGCACTGTTCCTCATAGTGTGGCTGTGTCGACATCAACCGCTACATTTAGTCCTCGAAAAGAATTTGCCAATTTGAGTCCACTGCAAAAAAGAAGAAGAACTGAAAATCTCATTGCCGAAAACGATTTTGAGACACTTGCTTATGCCCTGGCTAGGAAAGCGGAAAATGAAAACCAAACGGACTTTGTAGAATTAGTGAAGCATTTGATTAAAAAGCCTGAAGATGCGCCAATGCTGCGAGCCTGCCTGAAATCGACGAAACGAACTTGTCATACCGATAAGGCACTCGGTATTTCAACATCACTGAAATTATCGAAATGGCAGTATATTACATTGAGGCAGACAATGAGAGACATGGGGTGTGATATACTTCCATCGTATGATGCTTTGAAGCAAGAGAAGAAGGAGTGCTACGTTGAAAAAGAAGACATAGTAATAACTGAGACTGAAGTTAAACTTAAACTTCAGTCTATTTTAGATATTACGGTCAAGAGACTATTAAAAACTCTGGAAACTGATTTAACTGGCAGTAATTCGACTCTTATCAGTAAATGGGGGTTTGACGGTGCATCTGGGCAAAGCAACTACCAACAAAAAATTGACGGCGATGATTCAAGCATCTTCATGTGTTCATTTGTGCCGTTAAAACTGGTGAGAGATGGTACTGATGAAATAATATGGGAAAACCCCAAAGCGTCTTCAACCTTTTACTGTCGACCCATTTATTTTAAGTTTGCTAAAGAGAACGATTTGAATGTTAAAGAAGAAATGACTTCAATTGATACGGAAATTGCTGCTCTACATCCAACTGTTATCGATGGTGCAAATGTAAAACACGTTCTGCATATGACGATGATTGATGGTAAAATAACTTCACATTTATCAGATACATCCACAGCTACATGCGATATATGCAAAGCAAAACCAAAAGAAATGAATGATATCGACAAGGTTACTCAGAGAACCCAGTCTGTAGACATGCTTAAGTTCGGTCTGTCTTCCCTCCATGCACGAATTAGATGCATGGAATTTATCTTACATATTGCTTACCGTCTCGACTTCAAGAAATGGCAAGCTAAGGGCGAAGATTTGAAGCAACAGTTAAGCCAAAGAAAAAAGGCTATTCAAGAACAATTCCGGACTGAAACGGGGCTACTTGTGGACGTTGTTAAACAAGGGGCTGGTACAAGCAACGATGGAAACACAGCAAGAAGATTTTTTGTTAATCCTCAAATTACTGCTCAAATAACGGGTGTTGATGAAGAACTCGTTAGAAGATTTGGAGTGATTCTTCAGGCTATCTCATGTGGAGAGTTTGTGGACGTGGAAAATTCCGCCAATATTGTGCTGCTACAGCACGCAAATATGTCGAGCTCTATGAATGGTATTATATGCCCTCAAGCGTGCATAAATTACTCATTCATGGTGCCGATATAATAGAGCACAATAACTTTATATCAATCGGCAAGCTCTCTGAAGAGGCCTCTGAAGCTCGTAACAAAGATTTTAAAAACTTCAGGAACCCGGTAATAATCCCTATAAGTTTCAGCTTGACCGTAGAAGACCGATACAAGTTATGAGCAAAACAAATTTCGTTTTCATACATTTGAAACTCTAAAGCCCGTGCTTTATGGTGTTAGATTAAAAGGAAATTCCCCAAACTATTTTATTATTCAATGTACTGATATGTCCAATAAAACCGCATACCTTAAACGGATAATAAACATTTTTATTTTTTCAAAAATCTTATGAAAGGGGACCTCTTTTTTTCACCCACTGTGCGACGGGCAGAGGCGGTCAGTTCAGGACGTTCGTTCTAGTGAATAGTCCACCACTAAAAAGCGCGTGGCGCGGAGTGAGCTAGCCGCCCCGCGCCGCCGTCTGCGTTACTGCATATAAACTGGTTTGTATGATCCACGGCGGGCAGCCGCGGACATGCCGCGCCGCCAGTGCCCGCGGGGCACCCAAGGCGCGGTCTTTTTGCCCTCTGTGTGCGTTTGTAGTATAGGATTCACTTTGTGCTATCGTTCGCGGCGAAATTGACCGGCCCGCTCCGCCCCGCCGTCTGCAAAGCGCCTTAAGGTGCTAAGTTGTAGGAATAGGGGTAAGCTCACCTTCATAACATGCTCGCAGCGGCGCGAAGTCTCCGTATGCTGTCTCCGGAGTTGGTTGAGCTCGTGCAGCGCCTTCTCACATTGTTGTTTAAGGTTCTCATTGGTCTGCTTGCTTATAACATCGTACTGTCCCAGGGGCTCGTACGGGCCGCTCATTACGTGCGCGCCGTGAGCCTTGTAGTTCTCGTGGTACTGGTTGCCAGTTAGAACGTCATACTCGATAGGTATACTGGGTATGGGAGGCCGCTCCCCGCTCACGTAACTGTGCGATATTGACTCTGTAACGGAATGGTTCTTCAGTGCCTGTTTGGTATTCTTCCTTTCTATATTATACCCTTGATGTAGGATGCACAGCGAAATAATGAAATTGTTTGTGTGATAAGAACAGATGGATATTTAAATATTCAGTAAAATCCACTTATAATGGCTAAGATGATAAATACTATTTGATGTTCCTGTTGATATGATTTTAAACAGCCTATATAATTTTGTTTAAAGAGTTTCTTCTGTACGGACACAGAAATTTCAGTAATAACCTATTTTATGAGACACAGATTATTCTCATTAATTGGTACTAAAGGGATTTTGCTATATTAAAGCAAGGTTTCCCTTTTTCCTTGACTGCCTGTCTTTTTTTATTTTATATTATGTTTTACAGCAAACTCCGAGATTACAATTTGAGATTGATAAATAATTTTAACCTGATACAATAACAATGATATTTGCAATAAATTTTATCCAAAACGCTGCCTGTACTGCATTTGATTATAAAAAAATTGTAGTCCAAAATATATTACAGTAGTCGTGTTGACAATATACGGTGCATAATACCATTATTCATATCCTTTTGGTCTCTAGCAGTAGATCACCAGTTTTGTGCAGTTTCAAGGTAACCTTAAAAGTTCACGACATCTGTGTAAATAATACACAATATTTGATGCATTATACTTATTCAGTACAAGATTATTATATTACTAAGTTACTTAGTCATTTTACTCATTTTGTATTTTCTAGATTGGTTGGAATTTATTTAAGTCACCATGTTTCAAAAGGCATATTGCAATAAAGATCTATTTTATTTTTAATGAATGTTGAAGGAAGTTTGATACAATGCACATCACAATAGTGGTGTCGATACTGACATGATTCCCAAAACGAGGGATGAACAAACTGTTTCCTTTTTCGTGCCAATGTTTACTATCAGAATCTAAGGCAGGCCAAGTATTGGTTGAGGCCTTGAGTAATGTGTTAAAAACGTCACATGAGTTTTGTTTGTTTGAAGAGAGTGATAGAAGGCCTCTGTTTAAATTATCCCTCGTTCTCCTTTACCATAGATCGTTTTTGCTAGTCCATGCGTTTTCTTTTTAACAAGGTTTTATCTAAACTGAATCCTTTGGTTGCTTTTTGGAAGAAACAAAAGAAAAAAAAATGAAGTCACTTCACGACGTAATTTTCGGGGGGGGACTTTTTGGCGGGATCGGGAAGCGTCACTTTAGCAGTTTTGTTTTTCTTGTTAAATATTGTGTTGTGGTGGATGTAAGTGTCTGGTGGATTATTAACCATGAAGTACTAGGAACATGCACAAGTGTTGGCAAGTGAAACAATATAGCGGAAAGTATCTTTCGACATTCCCTTAAGAAGTCCCGGGGGAGGTTCCAGTAAATCCCCAAACTTTTACTAAACATAGGGAAAGAGGGCTTGACTTGACTGCCACTTACTTTGAATTGATTTATTACTTTGACCACGAGTGCTACAGTATTTGTAAACATTTTAACACTTGACATTGGCTAAATGCACAAACCGTGTGATGCCATTTAAAAAAATTGTTTAATTTCATTAAAATACCTAAAAAAATTGGACTATGAAATAACCCCTTTTTCATTACATGGGAGTGATACACTCAATTCAATACATAACAAAGATGCAGCGGAGATAGTAAGCATTGGCAAATGGTTGAAAATTTCAATATATAAAAAACACAAAGTGAGTTTGGATTTTACATCAACTGCCCTTGCGATTAATATTTCAATGCCCTTCTGGCGAGTCTATTGAGGGAGGTCTGGGGGCTGAGTACTTTTTTAATTTTATTTCGACCTATGTTTAAAAACAAATTTTGTCTCAACCTTTATTTTCTTAATATGACCACCATTAACGTTTTGTTAATTAAATCAAATCATAATCTAGCTCAGTAACGAATACCCCTCAAAACACGACTCTGAATTTGCTGCAAAGTAAATAGGTAGATACCTGGTTGAGCAGCGAGGTGATTCTTGTCGGAACATGTGAAAAATTGAACTTTTTATGAGAAACTTTGATTTTTGTTTGATGGTCACGGGCCGGATTTCAACCATTTGAGGTGCCGGAGATGGCCCATGGGCCGTAGTTTGCCCATCCCTGCCCTAAACCTTAACTTAAATTTGAGAACAGAGTATCCTTGTCATTCTCTACATGGAATGAAAAGGAGAGACTGATGTTTAATTTAGTTTTAACTTTAGAGAGTCATGCCAGGATCGACACCAGTATTACATTTAAAACATGGACCACCACCTAATGGAAAGTAAGCCACTTGCTCTGGCAACTTTACTCACCAAAAGAACATGACACTACAGAATTATTTGATACTGGTTGTTATTAAGTCAAGTATACTTCTTCAGGTGGCTCTCCAGTTCATATTCAATATAGACATATAAACATGCATTTAGTCTGCTGAGAATGGTTTAAATATAAATGGTAATAACCTAAATGATTTAGAAAATTAATCATAATATTAGTACACCTTTAATCAATAAGTTAACAAATCAAACTTTAAGTAGTAATATACAAACCATTGCTTCCATTGCTCTCCAGGGATGATGTTCCAGATGCCATAATCTCTAAAATATAAATCATATTTTTAAATAAAAATATCCTAAGTTCACATATAGACCACACAAGTAAACCCACACACCCATACACACACACAACCAAATATAATGCAGACATATATTGACACAGCAGATTCATATCATTAATTTTATTTGTTTCTTAGGTTTTCACGCACATCACTCATTAAATAAAACTAGTTTTTTACGGGTTAATGCACAAAACTTTATTTATTTATTGACGTTTCGTAGCCTTTACAGAATCAAATTTTATTTAATTTTGTCGAGCTACCTTCGAAAGACAAAAGTCTTACGAAACGTCAATAAATAAATAAAGTTTCGTGCATTAACCCGTAAAAAACTAGTTTTATTAATTTTATTTGGTAAAACTGTACTTCCAGGGCCCAAAAGGTGATACTTGTTTTTTTTTGTAGAAAAGGTCTTTTTAACAGTTTTTTTTTTCTGGCGCTTCGCCGGCCGCTGCCGCGGCACGCTCGCTTTGCTCGCTCGGCTCGCGCGTTATGGTCACCAACAAAAATGCAAAATTACAACCAACAAAACTGTGAAGTTTTTACTTTTGGGCCCTGGAAGTACAGTATATCCGTTTTTTTTTATTTAATTGTGGAAGTCTTAGTGGCCTATGACAGATTTTACTAGATCAAACTGCAGGGATTTATTAAATGTATACAAATATACACTTGTGCTGTGTGTGACCCTAATAAGAATTATCATTGTTACTTACAGCACAACAATTGGTAACCATGGTAAAGATGATTCTCACACACTAGAACCAATCTAAGTCTTTTGAGTTGATTTAGATCAATTTATATTGCATGTATATTCAATACATACCATGTATAGTAATAGTACCTAAATAAAATAATTAACCAAGTGATGACCAATAAATTAGCTATAGGAAATGTGCAAGTTTATCTACCAAACTAAAGTTTTGCAATTACCTCAGAATCTAATAGGTAGTTTCCATTGTCTAGTTTGAACTGTATCACCTGCAAATAAAAACTATGTTTTAGTTGTAGTCATACATTTGCTTCAACTTGAGCCTAGGGTGGAAGCATGACACGTTTTCTACGCTCTAATGATTGTTGCAAAACTCAGCCGTAGACCCGTAGGTACACTGTTGCAACTCTTTAACACAAGATGAAAGGGCACAAACCACAAATCTTAGAACTGTGACATGTAACTAATAACAGTACACCGACACGGTCCATCAATACTAGCGATCAACTACCAAATCACTTATTGAGTACTGAAAACGCAACAAAAACTCTCCTTTCGCCAACAAAATTAATTTCACGGTGATAGAACAGCGACACAATTAGTTTCACAATGTAAACATCAAATTTTATCTCAACGTCGTTCATAGGTTTATCCGTACCTTGTTTGACAACAAAATGCAAAGTTTTGTAGCGAATTATACTTGAAATGAAAAGGTATCGCGTTTATAGCTACACGAATTTTGCCAACATTTCTCACTTACGAGGTACCTTTTTTTATCAAAGCGAATGAATGAATGACAGATAGATACAGAGACGTCGGTCGGACATATTTGTACCGTTGTTAATTCATTTTTAAGATTCTTCCTTTTCCGAGAAGGCAAAGGGAACAATGCTCATATAACCTAGACTTAAGTAAATTAATCTTCTTTTTTTGAATTACAATGTCGATGTCGGTGTGATTCACTCTAGTGTTACTAGGAGTGTTTGGCACGAAATGTATTGAGTTAGCTGTTTCGTTAAGCTTCTGTGTGGTAGTCAACACTACAATAAAGTTCTCATGTCCACTTGACCGGAATAGCGTATATTTTAAGAATAGGCTAGTTGACTCATGTCGAATTGTATTAAATAAATGTTTATTTCTTAAAGTTTTTGGTCTAAGGAACCTAAATATATCGATTTCACTTCATAAAAGCAGAAGATTGCTGTAGAAATTTAATTTAAGAAAATAATTTCTAGTCTATACTTTTTAAACACTAAAAACGCTGTTCGCCACATCCGCCATGATTGTGACGTCTCTTTTAGTAAACAACTAAATGTCATTCATACATAACTTTAAAACTTGAATTATTAAAATTGATAATAAATGAAGAGACTTAAAATATTATTCAATGAGTACTTACATCAAAGTGATCTTCGCAAAAATAAATTTTACTATGAGTCGATAAAGTTGCAGGATCACTTTTAGCAAGTTCTAACCAGCGTAGGTTAATTTATTTCGGCACTTTAATCCACATCTTTCCTGGAGTTTTCAAGGATGTGTTTTTACATTCTCGTACAATACAATAATGATTATTACTATATTTTTCGTGGTATTTATTAGAAATCATGTTTTCTTTTTTATTATAAACTCAGATAGGTTATTTTCTACGTGCTTACGAGTTTTTGTTTACTACCGTCGACGTCATAGCATAGATAATCTATAGACTAAAATGGCCGACAGCGTTTTTGTATGTCCATGAAAAGTCTATTTTAAAATTAAAGATTTGTAGCTTTCTAGGTCTCAAAAAAATACAATACATTTTTTTCGGTCTAATAGAACATTTATTAACCATTTATAACATTTTTCCAAAAAGGGTCAACTAGCCTATTCCACGAATTCTTCAGTTGCACAGACGGTTGTAACACAAAATCACACCAATTTTGTTTCACAATATCCACTATGTTGAAAAAATCAAGTAAAACTAAACGTATTTTTTCCTTAACTATAAAACTACTAGCATTAATAGCAAAGAAAATAAAGATATACAGGCTGGTCCAATAGGCTAGTTGACCCTTTTTGGAAAAAGGTTTTAAATGGTTAATAAATGTTCTATTAGACCGAAAAAAAAATGTATTGTATTTTTTTGAGACCTAAAAAGCTACAAATCTTTAATTTTAAAATAGATTTTTCATGGACATACAAAAACGCTATCGGCCATTTTAGGTTGCTTTCCAATTACAGCATTATTGCGCATTATGCGGCATAATGCTTAACGTTGAGTGTTCAAACTACAGCAACGCTTCGCACAACTGAGCACTCTCAAAAGTGATGCTTTCGTGTGATGCGTGCAATGGTACCAACTTAAAGATAGAAAATTAACAAGCGTTTTTTCTTTAAGTTGGCATTGATCGAAATGTTTTATTTATATGTTATCATTAGTAATATTATTTATTGATGAAAAATTATTGAAACTTTCGTTTCATCATAGTTTTTTTTAAATAATCAAAGTTATTTTTTTTTAAATAATTCAACCTGTGTTAAAAATTAAATATAAATATGGATCAAGGTACAAACATTGTCTTTTTTTTTCAACACTGAACTTAGCGCACTCTGCTGGTGCATTTGAAAACTAATTCACGTTCCAATTATGCATCAGCATAATTCGGCATTGTGCGGCACTGAGTCGCATTATGCTCTGTAGTTGGAAAGCAACCTTAGTCTATAGATTATCTATGCTATGACGTTAACTGCAGTAAACACATAGAGAAAGGTAAATAAACAAAAACTCGTAAGAAAATAACTGACTTTATAATAAACAAAAGATGATTTCTAATAAATACCCCGAAAAATAAAATAATTATCATTATTGTATTGTACGAGATTATAAAAACACATCCTTGAAGATTCCAGGAAAGTTGTGAATTAAAAGTGCCGAAAGAAATGAACCTACGCAACTTTATTACACTTATTCATATGTTGTATCAGTTTTATGTTTATTACTACATTGTAATAAATAAAACTAAATACACTGTACTTACATAGATGCCTTGTCGTTTCTCTGCTCCGCAGAGCAGAAATCGGGGTTTAGTGAAATAATCACCAACCATGAATGCGTCAATTCTTGGCAGATTTGTGCTTTCTGTTTTCACAAAGCCGGCATCCATAATTAGTTTTTTCAAAAAAAACAGTAAACGGAATTTTTTCTAAATTTAAAAGTGTTTTTATGATAAATTTAGTCAGACGAAAGAATCCACCCACAGTAACACGCGAATGACATTTAGTTGTTTACCATATGAGACGTCACAATCATGGCGGATGTGGCGAACAGCGTTTTTAGTGTTTAAAAAATATAGACTAAGAAATATTTTTTAAAATTAAATTTCTACAGCAATCTCCTGTTTTTATGAAGTGAAATTGATATATTTAGGTTCCTTAGACCAAATACTTTATGAAATAAACATTTATTTAATACAATTCGACATGAGTCAACTAGCCTATTAGTGACGTCAACATTTTTTTGTTTATTTCTCGCGCTTGTTTTCGGAATCTGAAGCTGAATCTGAGTGCACTCTGGCCGTACCCTATGAATGTATGCATCTCCATTTCTTTGACACGCCCTACAGCCAAAATGACTTGACTTGCGAGGTATCATTTGATTTGTCGTGATTGTAAGTAAAACTGTCTTTTAAACCATTCACTTTGATAGCCCATTTTATTTAAAAAATTATTTCATGCGTCAAATACTGCTGATATTTGGTACCAAAATGAAACAGCTTCAAAAAAAATTGCTTATAACCTTTCAAGCAGGGTATTAAAGTGAAGGGTTTTAAAATAAATTTCAGAACATATAAATAAAATTATACTAATTATGTATATACGGTGGTGGTCATATAATTACAAGCACTTCTTATGAATAAAGAAATTACGACGAAAAAAAACGAGACGTACAAATGTTCATTAAAATATACACATTCAAAAATTAATAATCATGTAATAATATAGCCACTATTATATAGAATAAAAAACTCATTAAATGCATAAAATATAATAAATATCTTACTTTTAATTACAAAATGAGTTTTACACATGTAGGAGTTTATTTTCTGTTACTGGCCGCTTGGACGCCCAATAAGAAGCATTTAAAAAAAGCATACATGCTCATTCTTTTTTTTGAATTTCATTTCTTTCTTGTTCTATTATTTTGGCGGCAATTCAAAATGTAATCTGCATTTTATTTTGTTGAAAATGGGCAAAAATAAAAGTTATTACGCGTTTTAATTTACATGTAGATTGTAAGTGGTCATACAGAAGAATAGCTGAGCATTTAAATTGTTCTGTAATAAAACACATGGAACGATTGAAAATGTTCTTAGAAAAGCTCGGCCAAGAAAAACCTCTCCCAGAGAAGATACGCTTATTGTTCGTGTTGTTAAAAAAGACCCAAACAAAGGCGCCAACCAGATTAAAAATGAAGTTTTTTCGCCTGATGACCCGAGAAACATCTCGTTAAGACTGATACGATGAAGATTGGTAGAAGCTAAATTGTTTGGAAGAATTGCTCAAAACGTACCGCTTCTTACCAAGCGACACCGAGGGAAGCGATTATTATGAAATGAAAAGAAATGAAAGCGCTATGTTAGACCTCCTGTAAATAATGCTTTTCAGTATAAATACACAAGGAGTACAGTCAAGCACGGTGACGTAACCATTAAAGTTTGGGGGTGTTTTTCCGGATGTGGAGTTGGATCCGTTCGGAATATTGAAAGTACAATGGATCAATGGACAATACAAAAATATCTTAGAGCACACAATGATTCCCTACTCGGACGATCATTTGCTTGTAACCAGGATCACAATAATCCTTAACACACGGCCAATTGTGCCAAATGTTTCCTAAGCGAACAGCGTATATCCGTTTTAGACTAGCCAGCAAATAGTCCGGATTTAAATCCGATAGAAAATCTCTTGTATATTATTGTTAAAAAGATACTCTTAAACAAACGTAACATCAGTCATCAACGAACTATATGAAGCATTTGTTGAAGCATGCAATTCAATCCCCAAAAAAAGTATGGAATTGGGTGAATCAATGCCACCGCGCCGTTACATTCTGTAATTTGAAATAAGGGATACGCCACTAAATAATAATTATAACTATTGCTAGGCTGAGGATAGTTGCTATTTCGTAAATAACCATACTAATTACTAATACTTAAATAAAAGTATTTTATACGTTTTTGTTGTTGTTTCTAATAATGTATTTGACAAGTATTAGAAAACAAGTATTTCGTTGACGTTCACGTTACTGACTAATGTTTATGGAGTCCATAAAAAGTGGATATTCATCATTCTGTTGTGTATTTCAGTAAAAATAACCAAATCAAAAACTTCATTTTCAAGTTTCCGCGAAAACGTTTTTCTGGACAATATGGCGTCTTACTAGTGTGTCATTGTTATTGAAACGTCAAACGATAAAATGTAATGTCACTTTAACCGGAAGTTTACTTGCGTGTGACGTCATTTTAGGCTCCACCAATCCCAAGCGTTTTGGGTCACGTGACAATAGATAAGAAAACTATTTTCTTTTTCGTAGGTTTTTAGGAAAATTATGAATGTTTTTTTTTTGTAAAAACAGTAAAAACCCCTGCCAATATTCATTCTAAACAAAGATGCTAACAATTGGCACTTCATTTTTAATACTGTCAAATACCCTAAATGACTTGCCTGAGGTCACGAGACATCAGTGTTCACTCTTCGTTGATGACATTGCTTTAATTGTACCATGCAGGGACAAATTGACATATAATAATGAAATCAATTCTGTGATTGCTGACATAATAAAATGGCTCCATTGTAATAATTTAAAAGTTCACATGTCAAAAACTAAA